CCATACTTGTACTGTACGTGCAGGTGAAAAATAATTTAGTCAGAATAGAAAAAGAAAAACAAAACTACATATTCTGTCATGCATAAATAATTCTTTGTTTTTATTTTTTTAGAATTCATTATTTCGATACAATAATACTTCTACCAAATCTTATATTTCTTTTATTTATTCTTACTAAATGGTTTTATACACGAACAAAATTAAATTGTAATAAACCATTACTATTAAGTGTATATTGTTTAATTCTTACTGTATCGTTTATTAATATTTTACGATGTTTATATGCTATGATTTTTGCCGATCAAGTATCTCATATCAAAGGCATTATATTAAAAGTAAGCATATTGAATTCTGGCTTTTTATTAAATTATACTTTCTTGTTATTTAGATACTTTGGTTACTTGTTCGATTTACACTTTTATGTACAGAATTAAGCCTTTTATTTTTCGGAATTTATTCTGGTAAACAAAAAAAAATTAATTAGAAAAGTATCTCTAAAAGATTTTCATTTAGGACGTTCCAATCCAAATCGACAATGGATAAAAACTGCAAAAATCTTAATTATTTCATCCATTTGTTCTTTGGTTTATACAATAACACAAGTAATACATCCTTTTTTTAAATCATGAACTTTTTTTTATTATAAATATTTCATTTAAAGGGTGTACTTGAATTCGAAGGTGATACACGTCCAAGCAGTTTTAAACTATCGAATTATAATCTTTATTCATATGGTGGAATGAAATTTCTTCTTATATCAAGCGCAGTTTTTCTTATTGTAAATTGAAATTTATATATAGATATAAATGATTTGAATTCTTTTATCCTTAGATGTATATAATTATCTTCTTTTTACCATGTTTATGTCATAAACATCGTAAATATTTACCAAGTAAAATAGAATAATAATGACGACTATTAATACTAATAATTATTTGTTTTTTTTTTCTAAACAATAGTTCGTCGATCGTTTTATATCTATTGTTTTATCATGGCAATTATAAATATGATTCAAATAATTGGAACAATTTTAAATTTAACTGAAACTACAAAATATGCCATGTGGTAAGTTTTGTCAGTCTTCAAACAAGATTCATAAAAACTATTGATTATGTATCATTATTAATCGCAATTTGTTGTAAAAATAGGAAAAACTCAACGTATAGGGCGTTTACTACGAATACATTAATACTATTATTATGTTTCGAGTAAATGACTTGTCTTTTTAACCAATGATCAAAGGCATGTCTTTTAAGACTCGTTGTTAATTATACAGTTATTTTTTTCCTATTGATGAAAAATATTATTTTGTTGTTGAGAGATTTTACTAAATATTTCTATGTTATTGTATTAGTATTGTTGATGGTACGACATGTGTATTTTATATTTGTTTTGCTCCATTTGTTTATCATCAATTTCTACGACGAGCATTAAGGTAAGTTTTCTCTTCAATATTCCTCTTATATACGAAAATTTTGTATTTTAAAGTTCACAAACTCTCATTCCACAAGTAATGTATGCTGATGCAGCAATTAACGATGATGCTGGCGAAGATGATGATGATGATCTTATCGATGCTGAGATTGAATCAAATCGTCCTTTAATTGATTATTCAATCGATTATATTGAAGATAACTTATCTTCAACAACAATACGATCAGTCGTATCATAAAATCAAAAAACTTTACATAAATCTCATATGTATTTTTTCTTTATATAATTCATCTCTTTATTTTCTTTTCTTTTTTTTTTATGTAACGATCTGGTTTTCTTTTTTTCTGTGTCTCTAAAATTTTTTTTTTGTGTAAACAACAAAAAAAAAAGAAATAATATAACATATATATTTAAAAGTTTCTTTTTTCCTTTATTTTTAAATTTATGATGTTATTACAATGGTGGTGCACAGCAGAATTTACGCGAACGAAATAACCATGTTGCAAAGCCATTACTGTCATTTATATCTTTAAAAATATATAACAATGATTTAATTGAAAATAATATACAAATGTATATTCCTACCATTATCATTTGCATCTACCAAATGATTATTGTAATCAACATTTTGTCCGTCATAAGCGGCAGGATATTTTGCAGTGCGTGCTAATGACTAAAATTTTGAACAAAAGAAATAGATATTTGAGAACATCAGTCACGGTTTTGTAAGAAAAATTAGATCCTGTTTTTTAAAAATAATTTTCTCATTAAAATTTTCTTGTATTACAAAGATTGTTTAATTAATGATGAAGATGTACTAACCATTTTTATTCTGTGCATTGATGATGATGGATATGCATGAGTAATTGCTAGACAAATGGCAAGAAATATAACAAATCGTATAGCACAAGATAACATTATTGATTTGACAAAAAAGAAATTTAAGCGTAAGAGGATTCGAAGCTTGTGCAGTAATGTCGATTGCTAGAATAAGAAGAACAAATTACAGATATATATGTAGGCAGAGAGAGAGGAGAAAAAAGGAAAATGAAGGCTTAACTAGCATAAATCGAATAGTATTATGAATCTCGTTGATTTATATGGAAAAAAAGAACTTTTTTCTTCTCTCTTTCTCTCATTTTCTCTCTGTTTCCGAGCTTACAAAAGCCGGACATCAAAAGCTATAGGAGATTCTTAAGAAACGGGTAGATTTATTTGTGCGCTCCCACTCATTTTTTCTCTTTGTTAATTTTTTTCTATCTATAAGAGACACATATCATTTTTTTTTGCTCTAATGTGCGTTGGTGTTGATAAAATGTTTTTTATGTATGTTTCTACTATAGCTCAATATAGGGTCTCAATGGACGCTCGAATCGGTTCCGACAAACAATTGTTTAACATTAGATCAATGAATTACCGTGAGATATAACAGATAGAAACGTTTTTAGAAAAAAAATCACATTGACGAAATATTATTCTTTCCTTTTTCTCGTTTCCGAACAAGAGAAAGTTCAATAACCTATCCATCTGTTTTCTCTAATATTCTATTCAACTTAATCGTTTATATTTTCCGGTGACATGCTACATGATTTTCTTTTATATAATAGGTAATCGAAACTTGCTAAAAAGCAATGTCAAAAACCAATAGATAATTTCCCATGTGGGAATATAAAATACTTCTACTCGTTTAGTATAGGAAAAATCTTAAGTTTTATATTAAGAAAAACTAAAATAAATATCACCTGTTTACATTTTTCGTTAATTGATTGACTGAGATATTCTATTCAGTTTATCAAGATATATTCATAGTAGTATTTTGAATACCAAAATTGTCTAATATGAGAAAATAATCGCGTAAAGTATACTAAGCCAATGAGCGTTTCACAACAATCAATTACTATTCTCATCACATATTTCCGATTGTAAACGATAGTAATTTGTACTTCGCTTTTCCGTAGTCTATTTTAAAATATGATATACTAGTTATTTTTTTCTTTTCTATTTAAAGATTTTTTTTTGACATATGGCAATGGTATTTAGAACTATGTATAGAATAATTACTTTTATTGCGATTCAATCATTTATATATACTTGAATATAAGGACAAGTATACATGTACAAGGTTAGATGACAAGTACGAGTTAAAAATACTCTACTTATTCAAAAAAAACCAAACTACTGATTCAATATATGTATATTTCCTCAATGTTAATTTAAAAAACATTATCCTTATCGAATCTGAAAGTGTTTTAGAGCAATGATAATAAAGTACATGAAACATAGTAGAACTTGATTTAATGAAGTGAAAAAATAGCCTGATAAACTTACTTTGATACTGTTTTAGTTTATTATCGCTTGGTCGTATTTAATCATTTCAACTTGCTAAAACTAAATTTTTACGAATTGATATACCAAACATAGAAGCAGTTAGTTTGTCTATCGTCACGCTCACTCGAAAAAAAGATCTTCAAACCCATACTTTGAATTATGTCAATCTAAAGTATATCCACTACATGTCATCAAAGTAAGCTCTTAAAAATATTTTCCTCGTAGCATTGTACGAATAAACCCACCCAAATTTTTTATTATCTTTAGTTTATAGAGAATCTGATAAACAGTGATTTATCTAGAGGGAGGGCAGGGATGACCGCGCTCTCCCAAAAATTGCAGTTTTTGTGCTTATACTACGTATTAACTCCAGAAATTCAGTTTTCCCCCTCCCGGAATTCGCTATCTCGCTCTCGGAAGAAAAAACCTAGATAAAACACTGCTGATAAGACTAGACATATAGCAAACCACTACAATTCGAGCATGGTTTTCATGTCAACTATAGTCTAGCCTGACATTTCACACTTAGTCTTAATACAATATAGAAACTACTAGCGTGCTTGAAACAAAATAGATTCATGTCATTGTCTGATGAATGAAACACCTAAGATAATTATGAATGCAACTTGAGAATTATTTAGTGAAAGACTTTTCTTTCTCTTGTGTTATTATGTCGAACGGTATGTTTTATTTTAATGAAAGTGTCAGATGTTTTTTCAAATCAATTTTTGTTTTTGTTTTTGAAGCACGACGAACGAAACAATATCAAAAAAATTTTTTAGACAGAACAAATCACAAAAAAAGAATCAGAAGGGTTGACATACACAACATAAACCGGTCTAATAAACACAGATGAAAAAAAACGACGAAACAAAAGATTTAAACAAAAAAAGAAAGAAAGAAAGAAGACGTGAATGTTAATTTTTCGCATAGATAGAGAGTTGTCTAAGAATACCACTCAAATTAACCTATATTTTGATAAAAGAAAAGATATTTTGTCAGTTTGATTTTTTTGATTTTCAAGTATTTCCAGCACTTAAAATTTTAAAGAATCGAACAAATTTTGCCACAAAAAAATTTATTATAAAATACCAAAGATTTCTTGCTGTAGGACGTTTTGATATAAATATTCGCCATAAGAGAACAAGTATTATTGTATTAAATGTCCAACGTATATTTCTTAAATTATTTAAATGTTTTTGTGCACCATTAAAACATTGTGTATCCTCATTTAAAACATAACGTTTTGTACCAATTAAATATGATTCAATATATGTTGGCCAATGTAATGCACGTATATCAAAATAGAATTCATTTGCTGTATTTGTTTCAGTTAATAACTGTCTTAAAGTATTTAAACTATCATATGAACATTGTATTTCACCTCGAATTTGAAATGATTCAAGTGAAAGAAGTGTTCGGTGTAGATTTTTATAAATATTAACAATATGTGGTTTTTGACCAATACAACGTAAACCAATATCAGCTAAATGAGCTGGAATTAGATGTGAAAAAAATACATAAGAATCATGTATTAAACTATGACTTGTTACAGATAAATTAGGACGACGAAATGCATGTTCATATGGTATACGTTTAGAATATTCAGTTAAATAATTACTCATATCTTGCCAATGAAATGGATTAAGACCACTTGATGTACAATGATAAATTGTAATATTTTCAGAATTTTCATCTAAATATTTCTGCCATGCAGCCGCAATTAATAAATTAACAGGAATATCAACAGGTACAATATCGAGTATATCATGTGAATCACCTTTCATTGAACGTAAATAACCACGACCAGCAGCTACGAATAATTCACTTGGTCCATTTGATTTTTCTACCCAACCTGGATATGGTTCTTTCCATGCTGCACCAATAATTGATACACGAACAATTGATAATGATGGAAGATTTTTTTGTTCTGCAGATAAAATACTTTCGGCAAGCCAATGAGAAAATGAAAATGCATTAGGTTTTGGTCCTATTAATTTTGGTGTAGCTAATGCAACCATCTCTTTATCCATCCAATCAAGAGCATCAACTAATTTATGAGGTTCAATCGAACATGGATATACACATTCGTCAATATATGGACAATCTAAATAAAGAAAAATATTTTCATTTATATTTCTCCTAGTAAATAAAAAACAAGATCTATTTACCAATATTTGCGTATATAGATGATAGATAAACAATTGATTTAAGTTTTGTACAAGTTTTTAGAAAACTTAAAATACTTTTGAGATCTATAACATTTGTTTGAATTAAGTCTTTGAGATTTTGTTCTTTAAAATCTACAGAATTATTTGCCATATAAAAGCATAAATCAATTGTATCTTGTAAGTTTCTATGAGATATTAATTGCGAGATTTCTTGTACTTCAATATCGGAATTTTTCTCATCATTTGATGAAAATAATATATTAATATCAAATGGAATAATTTTCTCTTGAAACTTAGGATTATTACGACGTACACGATCAAATAATTTTGTTGTATAGATTTCAGCAAATATATCAATGGGTGATAGAAGATGATTACATTTTTCTGGAGTTATTTGTACTGGACAATAGATTTGATTAATATTTGGACATGAACGTAATAATTTTTCCAATAAAACTTTTCCAGGAAATGTTGTTGATCCAAATACTATAAGATTTTTTCCTTCATAAAAATCGCTAATAGACGATGTCATGATGGTTATACTGAAATCTAAAAAAGTAAGACAATATTTGTTGTTTTTAAAACAAATATATTCAGGATGAATTTATATTGAAAATAATAGTTGAGATAAACATCATTATTAAAGATGTATTAATCCTCGGTAATTATAACCATTTTTTTTTCTTTTTTATCAATAACACCCACGCAATAATTTCTACTAGCGTTATATTTTCTTCGTTCTATGATAAATCCTCTTGTTGTGTATATGTGTTTGGTGTTGCTACCATCCATCTCTCCCTTTCTCCCTCTCGTCACTGATTCGTAAGCGTGCATAGTTCATACAACCACTAATAAAAAAGGATGACGAAAAAACAACAACAATATATTACTCATTTCATCTATCATATCAAACAGTAAAAAAACAAATCTATTTTTGTATCAATGTTTTTATTGAAAATATCCTAAATAAGTTTAACATGATGTGCACTCTCTAATGAAGAATTTTTTTGTATTGTTTTTAAACGTTGTCGATCATTAATACTTAAATTAACATTACGATTAAGTAGATCAAGTGCATCACTTAAACATTCATAATTAAGTTCATTGATTGTTTCAATTATATCTAATGCACGATTAATATGATTTTGTTTGATTGATAATGATAATAATAACATAAGACTTTTTTCATTTAATGGATTAATAAGTGTATTTTTATTCGATAAATAATGTTCGTATAATGACCAACTAGCATCCAAATCATCGGCTTGTGCTAATAAACAAATAAGATTTGATAATAATTGTCCACTATATTGAAATACTGGTTGAAGTTGTTTAAATTGATTTCTTCGTTGTTGTTCTTCACTAATTTCTTGTTTTTGATTATCATTCGTATTTCCAAATTTTTGTTCTTCTTCTTCAGGTACTAAAGGAAAACGTTTTAATATTTGTCGTGCTATATTTGCATACTGTTTAATTTGATCTTTCGATAAATTTTCCTGAGTATTTGGACGATTAAGTAACATTAAATAACGTTCAATAATTCGACGATTATTTTGTTTATTATCAATAAAACCTAACATAAGTAAATCTGACCAAAGACGAACATAATAATCATTTATATTCCATGTTGAAATAAATTCCATTAGATCTTCAATAACATTTATTGATGGTGAATAAATATTTGGTACAACGGATTCCCATAATGGCATAACCTGTTCAGGCATATCAACACGAAAAAGTAAACGAAATAAATTTGCATAATACATTTGTTCTTTAAAACCATCAGGGATAAAACGACTATTTGAACCAGTCATAAGAAAACGATGAATACGTTTAGCTTAAAGAAAAAGAAAATCTTATAGATATTTAGTAAATTTATTCGCATGTACAGAAATCTTATTTTTCTGCTATATTACGTGCAATTATTCAAATTCTCATTCATTAAAATGTTTAATTATTCAATTAACGGGTGATGCAAAGATATCACGCTACTTTTTCATCGGCTATAGTGTGTTTTGTAAAAATACCCATTCTGAATCTACGTTGAAAGTGCTTCCTAATTTTTTAAAATTATATATTGCTTTCGAATAACGAACATATCTTTGAATGAGACTAAAGTGCAGTCTAGAGAATAATTGCGGTAGAAAGAACTAAATTTAATTCTCTACCGAATCTAATAGAAAATACTATAATATTCCAACGGGGAAACAACAGAGACTTCATGCTTGAAGTCTTATGAAATCTCATGAAGTCTCCTAGAATTTTTATAGATACAGGTATTAGACGAGGAGGAAACAACAGAGACTCCATGCATGAAGTCTCATGAAGTCTCATGAAGTCTTTTGAAATCTGTGAAGTCCATTGAAGTTTCTTGTAGTCTTTTGAAGTCTCTAGAAGTCTCTAGAAGTCTCTAGAAGTCATCTGAAATCTTTGAAATCTTTTGAAGTCTATCGAAGTATACTGAAATCTTTCGAAAAACTGAAGTCTCGCTTGTTGAAGTTTCTTGGTCTTTCGAAGTCTTGAAGTCCGCTGTTTCTCCCTAGTAATATTCCTTAAAAATCGATTCCTTCGACCGCAATCATTACGGATTGCATTTTACAGCTGTAATACATTTTAATGTTATTTAAGGAAGTTGTCATGATTCCAAGACAGAATATTTTCTACCTATACAGTTAAATACCCAGAGAATGAATTACCTAAGTCAATATCTCGACAATTTACTGTCGCTTTAAACATTGCATTAAAAAAGAATTCACTATCATCAATATCTTTCCATTGAAATTGATGTCCATTTGATTCATATTGTTTTTCTAATTCATCCATAATCTGTGGTAATATTTGTGTTTCATAACCAATTTGATCATTTGGATAAAATATCATAATTATATGTGCCCATGTACCTAATGATGGTTCAATTCCACATTGTCGCATTTCCTTTAGTATTGATAATGCTAATATTGGACCTTGTTCATATACTGAACAACGTCTTAATGTATAAAGTATTGAATTAAATGTACGTAAATTTGGTTGAATAGAATTTTGTTTCATATCTTGTAAACATTCAGTTATAAATTGCCAACGTGCTTCATAAGATTCTTTAATAGAACTAATTGAACGAAGAAGATAATTATATGTTGTTAAATCAATTGAAATCTTATTTTGTCTCATTTCATCAAGAATTGCCATAGCTTTTTCAGCATAATTATATTTAAGTAAACCACTAGCAAATGAATTATAGAGACGAATTTTTTGTTCAACTGATGTTGCAGAAAGTTTTAATTCTTCGAACATTTGTTCAGCTAAACCATTATCTTTCCAAGTTCGTTTAGTTAAACCTTTAAGTATAAAATAATAACATGATTTCAAATGTTTCATTTGATAAATTATAGAATTCAAGATGATTTCAAATAGTAAGGTGAAAACCGGGTGTAGAAAAAGGCCTGTAACTTATGAATATGGAAACTGCAATACATTATTTAAAAACAAGAAAATCCGATTCTTTTTCTATTGAATAGTGAAAATCATATATTGCTTCATTTATCTTGTAAAACACTATTTTCAAGTAATTCACTCTTCTCTTATCGTCAAATATATAATATATACTCATAAGAGAATGTCTCTAAATGTTGAAGTCGTTTAGATTTCATCTTTTGTCCATCAGTAAACCTCGAAAGGATTTATTCCCCGCGTACTTTTATTTTTAAGATATGATTATTATACTGGCTCTTCGGTCAAAGTCATGATATTTCGTCTATAAAGAGATACAAGTAACGCTCGTCTAAGGACTCGCTTAGCTCTTTCTCGTAGAAATGGTCTTCTACAATGCTACGGGACTTTTTGCTTATATAACTTGCAAACACCAATATCAGATTCGTGTTCCCCGACCTCAAAAACCATTTTGTCAAATTTTTATAAAAAAAAAAGTTTTTTGTAAAAAAATGATCCTTTGTCTAAAAAATTCTTTTTTTTAAAGAATTTTAAAAAACTAACATCAGATTCGAAGTCCCTGCATCGAAATACTTCTAGAAATGTCTTTTTCGAAAAATCGATTTTCGATGTTTTTTGACCCTGCGGACAGACAAGCAAGCAAGCAAACAATTTATTCTTACTGGACTCTTCTCTACGAGAAAGAGAATAATGATGCCTAGAATATTTTTGAAGTTTCAGTCAAGCCGGATGCTTTCTTAAGAAATGATTGAAACTTTAGGAATATTCTAGGCATCACTATACCTATTAATGGGTAACGATAAAGATAAGAGGGAAGAAATCCTTTTGAGTTCTACTTGTGCTAACAGATAGAGTCCTAACGGTTTGAACGTGTTCTCTCGTCAGTATACAAATTTTTGAAGTTTATTATTACCTGATTGGTTTGTTTCATTTAATTCTCTTCTATACCAATCTTCTTCTGGTGGTAAAGTATCCATTGGATTTTCACTATTATAAATACATAATAAATCAAATAATGCATATTTGCATGTAGTTGATATATCAACATTATTCTCTAAACATTTTTTATATATTTCATATGCTTTTGTAATTTTATTCCAATTCATTAATTTATATAGAGTTGTTTCATCTGGTTCAATAAATTCTTTTTCATCAAATGTATAACTTGGGAAATATGATGGTATTGATGGTGCAGCAACATCATGAAAAAATGCATAAGAATATCGATCAATAATCCATCGAGCCGCTTTTTTACCTGAAGCTTTTGATAATGCTAATTGTCGTTTTTCATGTCCTGATGTTGGTATTAGAAATGGATCATCCATAAAGATATATGCTGGATTTCCACCATCAGTTTGAACACATGAATTTAATGATTCAAGTATTGCTGTTGGTGAACGATTAAGACGTTGAGGGAATGTAAAACTTGTTGGACGACTAGCAGTTGCTGTCGAAGCACAACGATTAAAAATTCTCAAAAACATTCTTATCAGTTTCAATTATATTCTTCTAATTATCTAAAATAAAAAAGTATCGTTTTTTTTCTCTCAATCATAAATAATAAAAATCGGATTGATTCACATAGCGAAACTGAACTACATAAATGAGATCATAAGTAAATTGAGAACAATCGATATTAAGAGTATTTTTTTAAATAAATAATTTTTTCTAGTTTGAAAAAATCTCGAATATAATTTGAATTATCATCAGTAGGTTAATACGACAACAAAACTACAAACAATGTTTCATTTAGATTTTTTATTCTCGCGAAAATAGAAAGTTCATAGCGCGATCATCATAACTCCAGGAAGAAATGTTTTTTAAGTAAAATATGATTATCTTATCATCTCTTGTTATATTAATTATAAGCAAAAATCAATTAATACAAATAAAAATAGAAATCTCGTTTATATAATCCCATAAAAAAATAATTAATTACTCCATACAGCTCCTCCAATTGTATCACATTTTGCTCCAGTTACTGAAGCTAAAACATTTGTTTTCTTTTGTATACGTAATAAACCAATAAAAGCCATAATTAAAGCTTCTTTAAAATCAATTACATCACTCATTGAATCGATTATATCAATATGAAATTTTTCTTGAAGTTTAGTTTTTAACCCTTGAAATAAATATTTATTATGTGCACCACCACCTGTAATCAACATTTTACAATTAACATACGATGAGTTATCTTGTTTTTCTTTATCAATAATCATTTGTATTGAATCACAAATTTGTTGTATTATATGTTCAACATAAGTACGTAGAACATCATGAACATTGGATGGATTTGATTCTAATAATGGATAAATAATATCCAGGCCAAATGAATTCGATAAAGATTTTGGATAGAATTTTTTGTAATAATCTAATTCATTTAATTTATTCAATAAATTTTCATTGATTTTACCTTGTGATGAATATTCACCATTTTCATCGTATTCTTTATTTAAATATTGTTGAACAAGTTTATTTAATATACGATTAGCAGGACATATATCAAACGCAATTTGATGTTTTTGATCAGTTATATTTGCAATTCCACCAATATTTAATAAAAGACGATAATTCTCAAATAAATATTTTTCACCAATTGGAACAATAGGCGCACCTTGACCACCATATGCAACATCCATCGCACGTAAATCATTGACAACTAATACACCTGTTTCAGCAGAAATTGCAGCACCATCTCCTATTTGTCCAGTCATAGAATTCCATGGTTCATGAAATACTGTATGACCATGTGATGCAACTAAATCAATAGTATTTATTTCTAAATTATATTTAGCAATAAAATCCTTTACACATTGACCTAAATAATGTCCGTATGATGTATGTAAAAGAAGATACGATCGAGCATCTAATTCCGTAGCTGTAGATAATTTTTTTACCCAATCAGATGAATAAGGCATGGTCTCAGCATGAACAATATTAAATGTCCATTTTTCTGAAGGATAATCACCGATAGAAGAAAAATCTACACAAGCTATATCAAGACCATCTAATGAACTACCACTCATTAAACCAATTACACGAGGCATTGTTTTTTTTTTCTATTTATATAATCAAAATCAATATAGAAGCAGTTATGCAAATCAACGAAGCAATCAATTTTATACCTTAAACCGTACTCGAATAAAGCGCCTATAAAAATTAAAGAAAAAAAAAGAAGTTTTATATCGAAAATAAACAAGAGAGATGTAATATTTTTTTTAATAATGAATAATAAAAAACCAACAAACAAATCATCTGACTAGATTTCGAACAAAAAAAATATTTGATGAAAGTTGTTCAAGTAAATCTAATTGTTTTTCATCATCAATATCATTATTATTTATTAATAAGATCAATTGTAAACGAACAAATGTATCTAATAAATTGATTTCATTATCATTTAATTGAACAATTTCTTCATAGGCATTAAATATTTCTTTAATACTATCCATATCATTTAAAAATATGGATGCTAAATCCATAAGATAAGATGATTGAGAATTATCTGTCCATAAAAGACCATATTCACATTGATCAGTTATTTGTTGTTGACATGTAAATAAATTTGATAATAAAAATGGATAACTATTCTTTTTCTTATTAATAATCATCGCATATTGTTGATTAAACCATTGCTCATTAAGAGAATTTTCAAAAGATGATTTAAGAATATTACGTGTAGCTAAACGCCATTGTGCTAAAAAATGACCCATTTGTTTATTTGTTGATAAATTATTATCATAATTAATAATAATAATATGAGATTGATTAATTGATGTATTAAGAATTGTTTCATTTAATTGACATGATGATAAAATTGTTTGTAATTGTTCAAGAGAAATTATTGAATGTGGAAATAATTTTATAAGATATTTCTTATCCGAATTGATTACATAAGTCGATGGATTAATCATTTCAAATGATGATATTTTTGTTTGATAAGTTGATTCAAATAATTCCTTTAATTGATCTTCTTGTAATGATAATGTATCAGTTTCCATTTTATCCTAAATGAAATAAAATTAATATTAAAATAACAAGTAACGCTCGTCCGAGGACTAGCTTAGCTTTTTCTCGTGAAAATGTATCGTCTTCGCATCTACTGGAAAAATTCGTTTTCGATGTCTTTTTGACCTCTCCTTCACGTTGGTCATCCAACAGACCTCAAATTCGAAGTCCCCGTATCGAAAATACCTCTAGAAATGTCTTTTTCGAAAAATCGGTCTGCAATGTTTTTCTGGCCCTGCGGACAGACAAACAATTTATGTTTACTGGACTCTTCTCTACGAGAAAGAGAATAACTTATAATCTTAAACTTACATTTATCATTGAATTAATTTCATTAACAATTTTTTCAAATCTTCCAACAGATATTCCTGTAAAACGTTTACCAATACGAATAATTTTTTCATATAAATCTTTATTTTCAACAGAAAATGTTTCCGTTTTTCCTGTTAATTCTCGAAATGTAATAGCTATACGTCTTTCCGATATATGTTGTCGTTGTATTGCATGTTTATATTCATATCTTGCATCACCATAAAGTACAATCATCCAACGACGTGGTAATGGAATATAAATAATTTTTTTGGTATCTTTATCATTAGGTATTAATGAAAGTATTGTATTTGAAAGTAAATTTATTGTTATTAAACGTTCACCCCATATCCATATATCATCAATATGTGGATCAATATGTGAACCACGTTGTGAACAATAATCTAGATTACATAATTCAACGGATTGAAAATCATTTAATAAACGATGTGTTTGTAAACGTTCAATAAATGTTTTCGAATACATTGGCATACCAGTAAAATATTTTGTTTTTATTGTTTGTTTTTTAAAATTTATTTTTATACCAAAATCTTGTTTTAAACGACCTGATTGGGATGTTAGCCAGATATCATTATCAATTGAATTGATTAAATTATTTTCTTCATCTTCAGTTATAAAATCCGAAACAAGATAAATTCCATCTAATGGAAAACCTATTTCATCATTACCAATATCATTATGATGTGGACATTGAGCATTTGATTCATAGATATTCATACGAATTGCTTGACGACATGAATCACAATAAATATAAGTTGTATATGATTGAAATTCATCTAGGACATGATCTTTCGTTGGTTGACAAAGATTACATGAACGAATACCTTTACAAGCACATGTTGATGCATACATTCTTATTCTTCTTCTTCTAAGGATAATAAATAAATGAAGAATGAATCAAAGATATATATGTTTAGGATAATCAAGAGGGAGCCACTAGTATTTATAATTTATTTGAAATATTTATTTTATTTTTTAAGAAAAAAGAAAAATTTTAAGAAAATTTAATTATTTTATTTATATTAATTTGATTATTGAAGAGTTATTGATAATGGTAGATTTGAACCAATAGAAAATTTCTAAAGTAAACAATTCATTTATTCTCGTTCATTTGCCTTAGTTCATTTAATTTTGAAGTAAATTATATATCAATACTCATTCATAAAACTTATCTTACACATATTTCGAATATTTTAGATAGTCATATATTAGGTAAATTCTATTAATATTTACAATACGACTATAATAACTCTTGTTTATATTTATTCTTCTTCAATAACTATCTAAAAACGTTTTTCTCATGAAATTATATGAGTATGTGAAGTAAAGTATGAAACAATTAACGACTGCGTCTGTAAAAAGTTATAATAGAAACATCGACATCTATACTTAGCTATGCAAATTTTTTTTCTTAATGATCTTTAGGTAATGGTTCATTTTCAATATTTTTAACGTATCACTTTCTTAACAGTTACTTTATTTGCATTGTAAACATTCTAGTACACTATCACATCAGAGATCAAATATTTTTTTCGAATGAAAAACGATCTATTTACAGAATGTAAAAGATGTACTAGTACTGGATTACAATACAGATAAGGATTACAGAAATCTGAAGAAGAAAATGTAAACATTTGATAATATAGAATATACGCTAAGAATTCATTAAATTCATAAGTAAAATAGCTATAGAAAAGTATCAGTATCGATTTTTTTCTCAGATATTTCTGCCTATAAGTCTTTACAAAGACAGTCGTAGTTACTAATTGCTTCATACTTGAGAAATATATACTTCACTTAACAAATTCTTCAAAACCTGCGTAAACACTTTTTCATAACAAACGATGAAATTGTTTCTTTTGTCTTATTACTATTTCCTTAGATATATTGATTGAGTATGAGTATTCAGATTAGATGTATAATCACATTGGGATGTATTTCCGTTCACTAGCTTTTCGCAAAATCAGTCATCACGAAAAAAGTTCTTCTAATGATTAGCCACCCTTTTTTCCTATCAACATAGTTATATGCAATTTATTTAGCGAATGTCTATTAATATATTGAAAGACAATTAATTATATTATAATTCTAGAAATTAATCTTCTATCATATTTATATATCAATGGCTGATAACAAGTAAATAAAATCAATTTTTCTTAGAACATTATCATACATCTTTTTTATTTTCTAGTACGGATAATACAGCAGTTGAGAAGGCAACGTCAACAACGAAATCTCATGTAAGCATAAAGTTTTTATTTATTTATTCCGTTAGATTTTTAAGATCCCTTTTTGCTTTTGTTTGAAAAAATGTGGATGATATTAGTTTCTATTTGATTTTTTTCTTCTTGTTATACATTAAAATCTAATCTAATCTATCATTTTCTTATACGAAAGAAAGTTCGATATGGTTCTACTTCTCTTCGATTGGATTCAATGTAATGAAGATTATCAAATGGGAAATTTGATGTCAATATAGATTGTAAGTTGTAAAGAGATTTATTTTCAATTGTTTTGGTAGGTATAGAAATATTTATTTTAAAAATAAAATGAAACAAATAAGAAAATAGTAAATGAAATAGTTGAAAATTTTTAGGAAAAAACTAGTGAGGATAAATCACGTCATCGTAAACGGCATGATCGATCACGGTCATCATCAGTAAAACGACATCGACATAAACGATCACGATCACGATCTCGATCTCGTCATCATCGACAAAAACGACATCGACATAGTCGATCACATTCACCACGACGAAAAAGATCAAGATCCAGATCTAGATCTAGAAAACGATCACCTCGAAGACGATCTAGTCCAGGTTAATAATCAGAATCTTTATTCTATAGAATTATCAATATTTCTCTTTCTTTCTTATTTAAGTACAAAATCGAAATATACATGCTGAATCACGAGTAACTGAAGAAGATAGAAAACGTAATCAATTGGAAACATTACAAAAATTAAGAGATATGGCAGGTAAATAGTATTTTTTATTATTTATAATCTTTTATTTTAATATTTCTTTTTTTTGTTTATTAAAGCAAATGATACATTAGATTTATCACTTTTAACTATTGATGATTTGAAAAAAGCAATCGATGTACCAAAAGAATTACGATCAAATCAACAAGCTACGATGATGCATCAAATGGAAGAAATTCGAAAACTAGTAAGTTTATAATATCAGACTGTAAGACGTATATTCATAAATTGTTCAGAATGGGATTTCATTTATGGACAAAAACCGTTTTTGATTAAGTGTTATGATTAGAGATGTGCGGGACTAGCTCTGTTAGCCGGAGCTGAAGCGAAGAAATAAAGGTTTGCCGGGACCATTGGAAAAACAGTTCTTGAAGGTGTGGGTGAGGGTTGGCGACCATTTTGAGTATAACGCTCACACCCTCACCCTCACCCACACACACCCTCCTTTTGTTTATGGATATCATTTGTATCAGTAGTATTTTACAAGATATTTGTTTTAAGACGTCAAACTATCAAATTAATTGCGTCAAAATTGTATCGTCGTAGTCAATTATACTCTATATACCTTTTTCATTGAATTAGGTTGAAGAATTATCTGGTATATCCATTCCAAAAACACACAGTACTGGTAATCCACTACAATATGCTCAACAACAACGTAAACGTAAATTACTTTGGTCAAAAACAAATGATAAGGTATGAATTTCTTTGGTATGAAGAAAAAAGTTATTTATTAATTATTTCTTTTAGACATCAACAAGTAAAGTTGGTGCAGCAATAACAGATGGACAAGATGAAAAAACAGCAGAAAAATTTCGAAAATTATTAGGAATGAAAGCTGGCGGAAATACCATAAATGATACAACAGAAACAGATGCTATTCATCAACAACAACAGAATACATTTGATTCACTCGATAAAGAATATCAAACAGCTCGAATAACCACACATTTACGACGTGGTGTTGGACTTGGATTTATGTCACAAGGACCTTTTGTACCTTCATCAACAGAAAAAAATTAAACATTGTATATAGTTTTGTGTTTTTTTTGTTTGCTTCTCTCTCTCTCTCTCTTTCATTAATATGCCTGAGAAAAAAAAATGATATTTACCAACAAATACATATTTTCATTCATTCATTCATTCTTTAGATTATAAATCAATATGAAATTTAAACAGTTGTTGTCAAACAAATATTGATGTACTTTTTACTATTGATTGAGTTTTTCTTAGGAATTAATAATCAATGTCATACAAATTTCTCATACAACGAAAAATAATTAAGTCTATATTTGTTGTACACAAAAAAATGAACTTTGTACCAGAGGTGATCACAGGGTAACATTTTCATACCCTGCCCTGCCCTGTGCCCTGCCCTGCCCTGCCCTGCCCTGCCCTGGTAGGAAAAATGAAGAATAAAAAAAAACATACCCTGCAAATTTGACATAATATTAGATTTTTTTTAAGAAATCAATTTCCAAAGCAATCACGGGTTTAGATAATGTTGTGAGAAGTTATTTCATTCAAACTAAGTAACAATAGCATATTTCAACAACTGATGTAATAGAAAAGTAACAGATATTTTAATAAAAAACACTTTTAACTTTAGTTTAGTACACCATTTGACAAAAGAAAATGATAGATGAATGAAACCACAAAATGAGCAATGAATATTTTTATCTCTTTTACTTTTTTTGCTTTTATCTCATTTTTCGTCATACTTTATTCAAAACTCATCTGTGGAGAATGAACAGTTCCTTTCGTTGTTTGACATCCATGTAAAAAAAGTTGTAAAAATCAGATTTAATATCAGAAATCGGATGTGAACTCGATATAAATGCCACGATTTTCTCGTCATAATCCTCAGATTAAATTTGATTTTCACAACTTTTTCTACATGGGTTAACGTCCTCTGTCATGCAATATACTAAATTCTATAAAAAAAAACCTAAAAAATGACTTTTTCTTACATAATTAATGCGTAAATTCGCAGGGTGAAAATCTTTACCCTGTGCCCTGCCCTGTACCCTGCCCTGCCCTGCCCTGCCCTGCTACTTCACAGGACAGGACAAAAATCGCTAATGCCACCCTGTCCTGCTACAGGGCAGGACAGGGTGCAGGGCAGGGCAGGGTAACCCTGCCCTGTGATCACCTCTGCTTTGTACCGCTAAATAATTATTAACGATACACGACAAAAAACCTGTTTATTTTCATATTGTTGTTGTTTATTTTTTATCTATTTTTCGTTATTATGATGGATTTGTTTTCTAACCTTATTAACATCGATATAGTGCTCTAAACTAATATATCTATCACCATCTTTTATGGTTACCGAAGATGAATTAATACTTTCTTTATCAATAACATTATATTTCTCAAAATGACCTTCAATTTTCATACAAATACATTATCACAACTTATAGGGAAATTCGTGATAATGTATTAACATAATCATTAAAAGAAATTTTATTTAAATAAAAACCAAAAGAATATGTTCCGTTTTTCTTTATGTATTTCTTAAAAATAAATTCTACATGAAAAACAACAGTTCATTTTACCATAAGACTTGTATATGAGTAAAATTTTGACAATGCACTACTTTATCGTCAGATCGTTCTTGAATTTTCATACAATGATATATCTCGATGATTTAAATCTTGTGAGTTCTTTAAATATCACATATATCTTTTGTATAATGAAGCTGAATAATTAATCTTAATAGTATTAAATAAGAAAAAGATTGATCTAGTTTCTAGAAATATACCGTTATATAAGAGGTTCTTTATTAAGATAAGGAAATAAACAATTAACCGCAAATTTTTTTTCTCTTTCGATACTTGAGGTTTTTTAATAGCTAAATATAAAAAAGCCGAAGAAAATTAAAATTTCATTATTTATCAAGTAGTACTTATTTTTGAAGAGTGTTTCTAAAATAGAAATTCTTTTAGATATGGATTCATTACCAAAACAATTGAAAGGTCTTATTGGACCATCAATACTCAATGCTGATTTATCTAAACTAGCAGATGAAAGTCGTCGTCTTCTTGATGCTGGTGCTGATTATCTTCATCTTGATGTTATGGATGGACATTTTGTTCCAAATTTAACTATAGGTCATCCAGTTATAAAATGTTTAAGAAAAAATATTCCAAAAGTTTATTTTGATGCACATATGATGGTTGCTAAACCTGAGCAATGGATTGAAGAAATGGCTGGTGCTGGTGTTAATCAATATACATTTCATATTGAATCAACACCAACAGAAAATATTCCTAATATAATACGAAAAATTAAAGAAGCGGATATGAAAGTTGGTATTGGAATAAAACCTAAAACTGATATTAATGTTATCAGTGAATTTATAAATGATATTGATGTTGTTTTAATAATGACTGTTGAACCAGGTTTTGGTGGACAAAAATTTATGGGTGATATGATGGAAAAAATTCGTTGGTTAAGAAAAACTTATCCACAATTATTACATATTGAAGTTGATGGAGGTGTTAATATGAAAACAATTAATGATTGTGCAGAAGCTGGTGCAAATATGATTGTATCTGGTTCGGCACTGATTGAAAGTAAACAACCAAATAAAGATATGGAACAAATGCGTCAGTTAATTGATGAAAGTTTAAAGAGTAAAAAATTTAATATTCAATTAACAAATGATCAACATTGTTCTCATTAAATTTTTATTAATCATTAGGGTTTTTTTTTACTTATTTCTTTATTCAAGCTTAATATATATATGACCTTGCTTTTCATTATAATTACAAAATTATTTTTTCATGTATTCCTTATGAATATGAAAGCTTTCAGTTTGCATTAATCTGCCTGATTGATAATAGTATATTTTCTAGAAATAAGTTATTTATATCTTAATGTATATCGAGTGCATACTTTTGTAATAGTCACATAATAGAACACGAGAACTTCTGCTAACAAAAAAAATGTATATACATGTAATGTAATTAAATTATATACCGTGTTATACTCAGTGACCTAAATTAGTTAGAAATGCTTTGTTTTGAACATCAATCATTTATTCTTCCATGTTTTAATAAGAAAAGAATCAGAATGTGGAAAAAATCTAGAAAATGATCATGTCATTAATTGCATTTTTTATGTTTCTTTTAACTTATATATAAATGGACTAATAGATTATGTTGTTTTAAAATTTTTTGCATTATTATTTTTCTTTTATATATGTATACATACATTTTCTCTTTGTTGAATTTTAATGTATACATGTATATTTAAGTGGTGGACAAAACAATCGTTTCGGGCTATACTATTTAAATATATATATGTCGTAGTTGTGTATAGTCTATTATGAATTTCTTTTTCAATCAACTGTCAAATCAGCATATTGCATTGACGATAATGATGACGTTGTTGAAACGACGCATATCGTAGACATATTTTGTTTTCAGCAAGGTAATTGCTTAACTATTATTATTTATGATAAAAAGAACTGATGTTTTTATATTTTAAACAGAAAAAATAAATAAGAACGATAAGTAATCAGACATACAACAGAACTGGAACATATATATATATTGTACTTAACATAGCCTATTTTTACGGTCTAATAATAGTTTGTACTTTTGTACCAACATTGTTTACAAAAAAAAATCGAGAAATAACAACGGAAAGAAAAAAGGCTATATACAGATCTAAGCAAAACTAGATGAATCTTTATGCACGACACAACAATATAATCATCGATTTTTTTTTGAAGGAAAAAAACAACACGAAGCCTGGAGAGTACGATATATGATTACATTAATTTATATAGGACATTGGTATCTACTAGCAACAACTATTGTCATGCACATGTGCAAACATAAAATAATTTTTTGTCCTTTATTTTGTATATATATAGATATATGTTTTAGCTATTATTGTAAAAGTAATAGCAAAGAGATTAAATTTCGTTGGCATATCAGAAAAATATTGACACTAAGAAATAATCAATCGAACGTGTGTGTATGTTATGTTCGCAATCAGGGTGGTTAAGTACGACCTACATATGTATTTATATATATCGTGTCGAAGCTATAGCATCGGCAGTTTTGTTCGTTGAAGTTGTAACTTCGACAAATTTTTTGCCGAAGTTATAATTTCAGCACGACATATATAAATATATCTATAGAAAGAAAGATTTATGAGAAAAAAAATGAATAGAGCTTTTTTTTTTTTTTTCTTTTTTTCCTCTATTTTATATCCTATATCATATTATACAGCAAATGACCTTCTCAATGTATTAGATATAATATAAAACAGTAACTAGGTAAGGCTGTTTTTGTTATTTTTAGATGCACTAACAACTAGAACAAATTAAGGTAGAGCTTGTGCAAATTGAGAACCTTATTAGACTACAGCTTGATGACATTTGAATCGTTGTTGTTGTTATTATTATTCGCTGCTGTCGAAAACACTGAGAACAATAATTACATTGAGACTGACAAGACAATGTTTATTATAGCTTGATTTTCTCATTGTTTCTCATATTTTTCGCACATCTCTCTTTTACAAATTGTACTCTTAATGATACAAATAATCAGTATAAATGTTTATCATTGTCCTTATTTTGCACTCGTAATTTGTTCGAAAGTAGAAACAGAAAAAAAATATATAAGAACATGGTAAACATCTGTCGATGTCTTCTCTATACCAGGCATCATCAATTCTTCTTTTTCTTTACCTAAAGCAATATATTAAAAAAATACCAATACAATCAGTATATATATATAAATATATATATATATAGGCGTGTGTACAAGCCTTCATCAGGTATCTCATTTAATCGACTTTTACTTGTGTCGATAATAAATAATAAATAAATCATTCGTGGTTTTTTTTTCATTACAAGAAAGCTATTTTCTCTCTTTTTTTTTCTTCTTCTTCTTCTTCGTCTTCTATATTTATTCTACTCAGTAGTAGTAGAACAACATATACCATCCATTACAAAAGAAATGCAGGCGTTGGTGTATATAAAATAAAACAAGCTCTTTGACTTGGCTTCACCCGAATGTTTGTTATATTTTTTTGTTATTATTGACATTAGAAAGGGTTAAAAAAAGTGCGCACCCATTGACATTATATCGGATAAAAAAAAAACGTGTTTATGGATTAGAAGAAAATATTCTTGGGAAAAAAAGAAACGAGAAAGAAATTTGTTAGAAATAATCTTCTGTTCGGACAATTTCGATTAGATCTAAATAAGGAAAAAACTATGAAAGAATAATGATAACAATCATCAAATGCAAGAAAAACGGAAATCCTCGATCGTTCTCTTTTTTTCCTCATCAGGCAATACTATTAATATAGGGTGAATGAGGAGTTCAACTTTATTCTTTTCTTCTGTCATACAATCTAGACCTCGGTACAGTATACCCAGCTGATCGAATAAAGAGCACATTTTGCGTTCTTTTCATCGACTACTTTTTTTTTGTAATACTGATGATAGCTCTAGGGGACGACATACATAAATTATATGGCTGACGTGAGCTCGCTCTCTTGCTTGTTTATCATCGAATGCTCGTGAAGGTTGATTCTTCGCCTCCGGCCCAAATGTTCTGGGCAAACAAGAGAAAAAAAAGAGAACGGGGCAAAAAAAACAGCTGAGAATGCATATAAATAAAGAAAGAGAAACCCATATGATAGTTCGGGTAAGAAAAAGAGAAATAAGAACGCACCAACGACTGCTGTTTGTCTTCTAGTTGTTAGTGGTAGTAGTTGTATGTATGTCTATGTTCACGATAGGAGGGTGACATTGACAGGGATAAAACTAAAGATATATATACATATATATATAATATATATACATGTATACGTATCCATCAAAATGATTGCTGATAAAAAGGTAACTAATCGTCATCTTTTACAGTGACGACAGACATTGAATATGAATAATGAAAATAGAGAAAAGACGAGTTAGACAAATATGTGAAACATGTGTAGCATATCAATATATTATTAGCATTTATTATATTCTACAATAGACAATTGATTAATAGAACTATGAATATGAATGGTTGATGCTTATAACCAATCGTCAAAATCTAAACATATGTTTATTTGGGTAATTCATATAAATCTTATTCATTCTATATTTTAGATATGAATTACGGACCAAGTAGAGCCTTTAGTACCGCTAGTAGTAATGGCTTGAATACAGGTGGTGGTGATTATTATTCTTCATATCATAATCCATATCAATCTCATACAAAAACACATTCGAATAATTTATATGATTCTTTAAATTTCAATAATCACAATCATTTAGATGATATTGTAGACGAACAGCAACAAATTGATATTAATTATGATATGGATGATTCAGATAAACCTAAATTACTTATGTGGGGTCTTACAAAGTATAGATTTTAATTCAAAAAAATAACTTTAGTTTTCATATTCATATATATATAGAAGTGGTAAAACATCGATAATAAAACTTATTTTTGAAAAAATGACTGCCGGTGAAACATTACAACTTCCGGAAACAAAAATCGTTCAAACACACGGTAAAATTTTGTTATTTTTCTTTGTTAAATTTTTAAAATTTCTTCTTCTCTTCTATTTAGAACTTACTTGTGGTATTCATGTACGATTTCAAATTCGTGATGTACCTGGTCCAAAAACGGCATTATCAGATGATTTTGAAACCTATGCACTTGAATCGACTACTATTGTTTTTGTTCTTGATGTAACTGTATGTTTAATTTAAATTTTCATTACTCAATTTATCTCATATTTTGTTTTTTTATTCTAGGATGATTATTCAGATGCAATTAATTTATTAATTAGTTCAGTGCAATGGATGTATAATAATGGTCATAATGTACGATTTGAAGTATTAATTCATAAAGTAAATGAAAAGATTCGAATAGAATAAAAAGAAAATCTAATAAAAATCTTCTAGATTGATGGAGTACATGAACAAGATCGTTTAGAACGATATTCAACTATTCAACAACGAGTTAATATCATGCTACATGAATGTTCAATTAAAGAACCAGTTATTAAGTAAATCATTAAATTCACTTATCGTTTATATAAACGTTTTTTGTTTTCATAGTTTTTATTTAACAAGTATTTATGATCATTCAATTCATGAAGCATTTAGTAAAATAGTTCAAAATCAAATGAGACAATTACGTGCACTTGAAAATATGCTTGATTTAGTTACAGCAGTAAAATAAAATTTTTGTATTTAAACAAAAAAAATCTAACTAAAATATTTTTATTTCGTAGAGTACGCAATTGGACAAGATTTTTGTATGTGATATATACAATAAAATTTTTCTTGCATCCGACACCAGACCGGTGGAAACACAACTTTCTGAATTATGTTGTGATGTTGTAGATGTTTATAAGGATATTTCGTCTATTTATGGGTAAAAATTTCTTTTATGAAACAGAAAGATTAGATATCCAAGCGAATGAGATAGGTTTTCTTCTTCTTCTTGTTACACTCAAGAGAATTAATATATAGTTGCACTTAGTACCTAAATAATCAATAATATGTCCTTTATGATTTCTTAAGTTCAATGAGTAGTTTGTTATGTCTTCATCTTTCAGTGAATTCATATGAGAATTTAAAGTAATATCGATAACCAAATGAAAAAAAATATTGGTACAGAATGTGGGCTATGTCTCTAGACGATTAGTCCATATAAGAGATAAACATATTTCAAGGTTGAAATAAGCTTTTTGTTTTGTTCGGTAGAAAAATAAGACAAGATATTCATTTATTTTAGGACAAGTAACAGCCCGGTGCTTGATTCAATGTCATTTTGTACTATTGAACTTTCAATTGGTCTTGTACTTTATTTAAAAGATATAAATCCAACTACAGCACTTATATGTATATTAAAAAAAGAATCAAAAATAAATGAAGGTAAATAAATATATTTTCTTTTTGTGTTTGATTTTAAGATGAAAGTTATGTATTTTATTTTTAGCTTTAATGGAAGTTAATTTAAATATTTTAAAAAAGAATATTCAAGAATTATTTCGTACTTATTCAAATACTTCATCTCGACAACAATTAAATGCATCAATCGAATGATTTAAGAGGTGTTGTTTGTATTTCTTCTTCTTCTTCTTCTATTTCTTTTTTGTTTTGTTTCTAATACACCGAATGGGTTAATAGTCACGTTACCGTATAGGAAATTGAATATCTCCACTCGTACGAACGAGCTAATAGAAATGTAGTTTTAGTTCATTTCCAATGAGATGAAACCGTTTGAATGTAGACTTGAATAGTTTCATTGCAATAGGATTCAACGAGTTAGATGTTTTTTTATCAATAATAGAGAACCCTTGTTAAATATATATGGTTTTTTTGCTATGTATTAAAACTTATAATTACTCTTTTCCTAGCAAGAAAAATTCAGCTTATTCGTACGAGTCATAATCGAGATATTCAATTTTTTTGTGTGTAGTAAAATGAGTTTTGACCCATCCTGTATGTATGTGCATTTTTTATTATTGCTATTTGTTAAGTGAAGTTATCAGAAATTGAAGTCAAATACAGTTTTAGTCAATAGACAGAAGTTTTCAACATGTATGTATCCTTCTATTAATATATATTACTTCCGCCCTATATGAGTATATACATACGCATATCATTGTCATCGAAAGAAAACAAATCGACTAATTCTATAAATAATAGATAGATTATTTATTTTATGTCTTACTTAATGTTGTTTTTTGTTGTATTTTCTAGTCTATATCTAGATCAATTTTTTTTATGTTACTACTAATATATAGGATAAGAGTGAGAAAAATTGTTTAGATTAGTTTTCTTTAATGCTAATTTTCCGACCGTTTCTTTCTCCTTGTGTATGCATATATATACATATACAGAGAAAGTACTGAGTTACACAAAACAGTTGCAGATACTTTATTCGGATGTGTATGAACGTGTGTATATACGGATTGATTGTTTTTCTTGTGTAATGCACTTGACTTTATTATTTACATTTTGATACATCTTTGTTCTTGTCTCACACATACACACATACTCTCAATTTTTTTCTTCTTTTTCTTTTTCTTGTCTTCTTTCTTTGTCTCAAATGAATGACTCTATTTTTATATTAATACTACTAGTACTACTACTACTATTATCATTGTGTTTCTTTTTTTGTTCTTAATTAATGTTGTCATTACGTATGTATGTGCGTGTGTGTATGTAGGTACTGAAAACGATAGAAAAATGTTCGATGGAGATGTAATTTGTTTGAAGATGGTTGGATGCTTAAACTTGAAAATAAACTGAAAATTTCTTTTTTCTATATATATGTTTGCCTTATACAAGATGAAATGAAATATTTCAAGTATCACTCGAATGAATAGAAAAAATGATGATTGTAAGAGAGTTTAAGTGGATAACAATTAACTATTGAAGAAGACTATTATTGAAGGAAATATCGTTCTATACGAATGTATCAAAAAAATAATAATTTCGATTATTTCTTTAGTGAACATACAAGACAAATAAAATGATTCTCTTAGTTTGTTCAAACTAAAACTATTTGTGTACAAGATTTCGGAAGTTTCCATCGGTTCTATAAAAATGTCTGTTAATTAATGAACTTTCTGCAATAAATTCCATCAAATGAATGTCTTCTGTAAATTTTATTTATATTTTGTTCTATATCATGGATATTTCACATTTTAGAAGATAAAATTATAGAATATTCGTTATTTCTCAGTCAGAGAAATTTAGATTTTATTTCGATATGAAAACTGATTTGTCGGAGTTTTATGATAACTGTAAATTATATTGAGTGTCCATATAATTATATAATGCAAGTTTTAATATATTTAAATTCTCTCTCTTCTGTTTCCTTCTATTTCCACTCTATTTTTCTTTTTCTTTCTAGAAGTTCAAATAGTAGGTACAGAAAAATACTTTCTAGCGGAATTCAAGTGCAAATTAATCACATTTTGTCAGTATTTTAATAACGATGATGGGATGCCAAAAAAATTACCACACTAAATGCACTTTACATGCACCAGTGATATGAATGAATATGTTCATATATTTAAAAATGCAAACAAAAAGCTTCTAATAAAAAATACTTTATTTTCTGCTCCATTGATACATGGTCAGCAATCTTTAAAAATACATTGTACTCATTACTTATATATCAAGCATTTTAAAAATATACTGGGAATATTTCATATACAAACGGTAATAACGAACATCAAAGATTTTCAACAAAAATATTTGAGTAAAAATTAAATTCATAGTTTACTTCATCGTAGATTAAAACAGAGATCGTTTTAGTAATCAAGACAATAAATATATCGATCAAAATTTAAACTTTTTTTTTTGTAGTAACACGAATATTGTGCTTCAAACAGATGCTTCTTGAGCACATATTCGTGTATCATTCAGATGATGCTAGTAAAGCTACAGCAAAGGATGGGATTTAGGTTTTGAATGGATTTTTAATCACTAGAAAGACTAGTAATGTATCTGTTCCAGGGAAATATTATGATGATGATTGTGACGGAAGTCTCTAGAAGAAAAGCAAATGTTTCGGAAGTAATTATCACACAGGTAGCGCTACCGGAGGTAACATTCATGAATTCATTGTTTTAAATACAAGTAAAAGTACATCAAATTTCAATAGTCTAAATTAATACTCAACACTTCATTAATAAAAAAGGTGGCTGAAATATATTTAGTTGTTAACATTGCTAAATATAGACATACAAAGTGCTTTCATATTTTTCATATACAATTGACAATATGTAATTAAATGAATTGACTGATATCTATTATATTTTCGTCAATCAATAATCAAAAGATAATAGAAACAATTATATCATCTCACGTTGAATAATATGGCTCGTAACCATCATTGACGAATAGTTAACGATACTTCAACTGACAAAATTAGAACTTATACAGAGTGAAATATATGGAAGTTTATTTTGAAAATGCAACATCGTATGTAATGCTGTATAAAGTAAGTTACAAACTTGGGTGATATCAACTTAGTTTACTTATTGAAGAATTTATTTTTGTCTATTGTCTATATATAAACGTTAAACAATAACAGTGCTAGGTAAATGTGATCATATTTCATTACCAGCTCGTATAACAGAAAAAGTTTACTAGATTTTATTTAGATAAATAAGTTTCTTTAAGAATCTATTTAGTTTAGCTTAAGTTACTAATAATCTATCTGTTTTTCTATTAAATCTATTGAAATATATCCAAATTATTGAATTTAATCTCTTCGGATTGATTTCAGTTTAAAGGATAGATACAAAATTGTTCCTAAATAATTCAAAACATTGCTCTAGTCCATAGTGATATATAATCCTTTTTTTTAACAACTGAATAAAATATTAGCTAAATATATATAGAATCGAATACAAAGTTCTCAAAACTGTAGCATAATCCATCGTTTTCTTGTTTATCGACTAAATCTCTTAAATATTGATTGTGAATTGTTTTTCTTTGATTAAAAAAGTTCTTAGGATATCAATTTCATGATTATAGAGTAAAGCTGAAATATGTCTGGCAATATTTTTTATGAAGATCATTGATAGGTATTCGTCTTTCATTATTCTGAAACTTATATGGTTTGAAGATTAAACAAAAATATTTGTTGTGTATAGTCGAGAAAGCAATATTGTTCGATCGAGCGGTTGGTCTGGAATTTCTATTATAGTAACGTTAAATCTTTTAGGTCAAAATTTCAGTTTTGTATATTTTCAATATTACTATAAGGTTATATAATTAATCAATGTATAAATCAAGAAGGGCTTATAGTCTGTATTTCTATAATATTCGGAAAAAATATATATAATATAAATTAATCGGTTGATATCAACTAATAAAACCTTGACGTCTGGTTTTTCTATTATTATGATATATTGCTTCGACAGAAGAATTAAAGGTTTCCATGAATGCTATTTAATCAACTTTCTCTAGATTATTTTCTATATAAAATATGAACAAGAATGAATACTTAGGAAGTATTCAATATAATATTTCATATGAAATCTATGAACAATTTTTTAATCTTGCTTAAGAATCCTTCTTCGGATATGAAATGTACCAAAGATATTACTAAATCTCGTTAAGAATTTATATGTTTTTGTCAAGATGTTATATGACTTTAAAATAATTACTGATATTATTAATCTAAGTAATGATGATATAAAAAGTACCCAAGATAAAGTTCATATTCAAATGAAGAAAAAAAGGAAGTAAATCATCCACTATATAAGATCTCTTTACAAATGATTAACTTAAGAACAAATGTATTTTTTTTCAATTAGAGAAAATTTTCTATTCATTGAATATAGTTATATTTTTAACAAAAACTTATATTAGTACTACGAATAATTTATTCAACCAGAAAACTTTAAATTATCAGATTTATTATAATTAAAATTTTAATCGGATTGATTCTAATAGAATTGACATAGGAGAATTTTGTTGACATTCAATTTAAAATATTTAGATAAGCCAGTTTTTCACATGACTATGCTGAAAAGATGAACTCGATTATTTGGGTACTAAGAGATAAGAATATTTTATCTTTTGCAACAAAGATTAAAGTCTAATTTTGTCGTTCGCCTATTACTTTGCATCAATGTCTTTAAATGGATTTTAAGAAAATGATACTTCAGCATTAAAATAGCCGTGAAATTAAAAAGTAATGACGTATGTTCATAACAACAGTAATCAAAATCGATACGAACAAAAAAGTACGTCATTACATATTATATTTTTTTTCTGCGTTTATTTGAACTAATAAAGCAAAAAAAAAAAGGGAGCGGGTTCGAGGTAACTATTTATTTACTCGACTTTTTCTTTTTTTTTTTTTTCTTCTTTCGAAGTGTCAACGAGTAATACATTTTAACACCTCGTCAAGTTTCTTTTCGATATTAACAATACATGATGGTTGATTCAAGCAATAAGAAATATAATTTTGCTTGCATGTCTTTTGTATGGAACTTTTTTTTCTTTCTCTTATCAAATTCAATGAGAAAATCCAATCATAGTAATTAAACGAAAATAATAGGTTCTTTTTGCCTGTAAAAAAGAAAAGGCAATGACAACGACGCGCACAATTACAAATACGTGCTTGTCCTTGAGACAGTATATTATTCTGACATCAGAGTACTCTAATGGGTTAGATACTATATGTATGACAAGAGACAGATGGTATAGAAGTCTCACATTGATAAAAAAATAATGTTAACTAATATTTATGAATATGAATATCAAACGAAAAGATACAAAATCGATTAATTTATAATAAACAAAACTAGGAATGCAAACTATTTTAGTATAATCAATCTACCACTCTTCGCCTCGCTTTTTTTTTTCTTTTGTACTGCGAGAGCATATTTTCATTTATATTTTAGTAATATTATATGCAAACATTAATGTTTTTTTTCCATTTCTATTACATTATTACACCATAATCAACGTCATCACCACAACCCCCCACATTGCCACTTGTCCTTCTGAGGTGCGCGGCGATTGAGTATATTCGACTATGAAACAAAAGATAACAATGCAATGCAGTCGAAAATACATGGCTTCTACACTTAACATTTGCATAAGACTAATAAGAAAAAAAAGTTAGCTTAGAAAAGAACGTGCTTTTGCATTCAGTTCAATCATAGATCTATTTCTTTTTATAACAGAATTAAATCGTGATATTTAAATAGTGTCGTTACCCTCGTTTAGTATTTCTATTCTCATTTGTCCAGAGAAAACAGCTGACAAATCAGTAAAACATTCTTAGTTTATGTTTTTGCTTTCTTTTCACATGCATACACACACACTTTCTCTCTGTGTCGCTCTTTCTTTTCCTTCACATTTGACGCGCATATATAGAATGAAGTAGAAGAAAAAGAGAACGAAGAAGAGAAAAAAAACACAGCAGCATCGATGTATTTATAGAGTAACCAAAGACAAACTGAGAGTGAGAGCAGTACATTTATGCAAAACATATTTCTATTTAAACTTTGATTTATTAAAAAACTTTTCTCTATTTATTTTAGATGTGTGCAGATGTTGATTATTTTCCTCGTTTAGTTATGAAAGATAAACTATTAACAGCACAATATGATAGGCGAAATAGTTGGGCAACTTCAATATCATCTTCATCATCGTCAACAACTACAACATCGTGGTTAGAAAGAAAATTGTTTAGCCATTTTAAACGTTTTTTTCGAAGAAAATCAATATCATTAGCATCAAATTCATCATTATCAAGCCGTCGACCGTCATCAACTACTACAGAAGAAATTATTTCATCGCCAGTTAATGAACAACCACAACAACAACAAAAACAACAACAACAACGAGAAGAAGAAGAAGAGAAAAATATAATTAAGACTGAAAATCTATCTTCTTCTTCTTTTTCTTCGTCGTCATCATCTTCTACTCCTTCGATTACAGAATCTTCACCATCAAATAATCCTATTGATTTATTATATGATTATGATCGTCTTCTTGCTCGTTGTATAGAACGACAAGAACATGATCGACCTGAAATGATCTTACGTTGTCAAACACCAATATCAATTCCACATGCAGATTTAGTAGTTGGCCAATCACGTACAACACTTATTAATTGGAAATCATATGTACGTTTATTTCGTGCATTGACACGTGACCCACATCTATTTCAACAATATATTAATGAACATTATTCATGTCAATCATCAATAAATCAACGTGAACAATTATCATTTAATATTCGAACAACAAAAACAACATTTGATAATATTCTTAGAAAATTTCTTGATGAATATGTTACATGTTTAATATGTCAAACGGCACAAACACATTTGATTAAATCAGATGGTATATGGAGAATAGAATGTCAATTATGTGGAAGTCAAAGAACAGTTAAACGTCTCAAATGGAAACATCATCATTAATAATAATAATCATAACAATAATACGTATAAGAGCAAGAAAAAAAAGAAAGAAAATAACAGTGATATATGATATCTTATTTTTTAGTTTTTTGTTAAATCTAGTCTCTCATGTCTCATTTCGTTCTTTTTTGATGTTACTGATGTCTTTATAGTTTTTTTTTCTATCTATATCTACCTGTGTTTTTATACAGCATGCCGACAAAACATATATTAGTAAAAAGAATATTGAAGAGACACTTTTTCTGATAATATTGTTGTTTGGTATGCAATTATTTCATTTTTTATATGTGTGTGTGTGGTGATTCTTCGCATCGTTTATATATTTTTTCAAAAGTATATAAATTAAACAAAAACATTTTCGTATATTTTATGCAATTATATTAATCAGAGTATATACTAAAGAAAAGTAAAAAATGCACCTTATACAATATCAATCTACAATCATTTTGATTTATTTTCTAATTAAAAAAAAATATTATAAAATATATAACTAAAAATCAAGTGCTCTGCTTTATGTGAGTCAAAAAGTACATTCTTAGGCTTTCGAATTGATTATTTATAGTAGAAAGATTCATTTTCTTAAATAGATGTCACTAGAATCGAAATAATGTTTTCTTTTTATTATTTGTCAATAATATCAACCATTCCATTGTAAAACCACAATTTTACAACAATTCCAAGAGAAGAGTTATTGATATTCCTAAATTATCAATGAGTTAAAATTCATCATCTAATTCAATTTTAGATGTTTTCACGTATTATTCATTCATTAGATAAAACAATAAAATGTTTTCGTTATGTTTCTCAAACATTACCAAATCCAATTCAGTCTCGTTTATCATCTGTAGCACGTCCAATAAAATGTTCTCCTAAAGAACCAATATTATTAGCAGGTGATGTAACATCATCTATGAAATTATCTGTATTAAAACGTGTACCAAGAAAAAAACCTAAATGGAAAGCAACAAATATTTTAAATCAACGTGAAGAACAATATTTTAATGTATGTGCATTAGCTACTGCAGATTGGTATGATTTGGATCGATTAAAACAACGTTTAATTACATTATCAAATTCATTTCAATTAATTCCTATATCTGATACAATCAATGATGTTTTATGTCTTCAAATACGAACTGAATCGACAACCAAAAGTGAAGCATTTATATTTGATGATGGTGCAGTTGTGTTTTGGAATGTTCAACAAGATTATAAAAAAATAATTTTAGATCAAGTAAATTTATAAAAAAAATTAAACTTCTTCAATACTTTTATTTTCTTTCTATCGTGTTTTGGTTGATGAAGTGAGTGAAAATCAATATCCAAAAGATTTAATTGATAATGAAAAAGAAATAATGAATTTTACTGAAGTTAATACAACAAGTTCATTAAGTAATGATATTATAAAACTTAATCATCAAAATGAAACTGAACATTTACTTGATAAATATACATTTTCAAATGCACTTGCACTTTCAGTTAAACTAGGTAGAATAGAAATTATTAAAATAATATGTTAGTTTTATTTTTGTTATTGAATAGGAATTTGGGAAGCGGTACTTGATGATGAAGTTGAATATGTTGCTGATTTAGCTAATCGTTTAAAACAAGGCAAACATATTAAAATTAAACATGGATCAATGCAACGTAAAAGTGGAGAACTTTATTCACTTAAACATGCTGTTCATTTAAGTCATGGTATGAATAGTTTTGTTAAAATTATAAACTAGTGACGTTAATAGAAAAAAGCAGTAGAGAGGGAAGGCGTGCGTCACCATCTGGTTAGGCGCTTAGTAAATATTTAGTTTCTCTCATCTTAATTCAAAACAACTTATTCGATCGAATTTATATAAAGGATGAAAATTCGAATAGGTATTACGAAACTGTTCTTCACAAAAACAAAATTACGTGTTCGAGAACACGACCATTTTTTGTATTATTTTAAATAAGATCACAAAACGAAAGTCATTCTGACATGAATTTCTAATAATTGTTTTGAAATAATACTGGGAAGGATGTAAAGAGTACAAAAGAAATTTGATTCAATTCAAGGCTGTAATTTGATAGTTAAATACTCGAAATTTCAGTTATCAGCTTCTCAATGCTCAACAATGCAGAAATTCAAGATTATTATATGCAAATAGTATTCATTAGTTCTGAATAAACCACAAATTACATTTAGTTTTATACATACATAATCTTCCAGAGAGTTGTTATCAGTTCTAAGTGACTAAGCACAATCGGAAACTTCGCTCTGTCATTATAATTATTGTGCACTCAAAATGCAGAATTCCTTTCGACTGATAACGGTTTTATACGCCTACTAATAATAAAATCTGTCTCAAAACAAACATCGGATGACTGACATGACCTTTGAAATTCGGAAGATAAACACTATTTCAAGTATTTACTTTAAAATGATTAATTAAATCACGTACGGCCCTGTAGACTTGTTTTTCGTTTTTATCTGACATGATCGTACTTTAAGATATGTTACTCTAAGGTCAAAAAATATATGACATTTTATCAGATTAATTAAACAAAGTTTTATAATGATCTTTTCGCTCTTTTTTTATTTTAGATTTTCTTGATACACCTGATTTCTACTGGTCAAATAGTCGATTAGAAAAGTAATATATATGTATGTATATATTTGATAATAATACTTATTTTCTTGTTCTAGTCTTTATAAGAAAGTTTTCAATTATTTTGCAATTGCTAAACGTACAAAAGTATTGAATGAACGATTAAATTTTTCACTTGAACTTATATCAGTTATTGAAGCAAGTTTAAATGAAAAAAAACATGTACGATTAGAATGGATTATTATTATTTTAATATGTGCCGAAGTATTTTTCAATGTAATTGATCATTTAGATTTTTTTTCACCAAATTTTACTCCAAAACATCAGAAATCTTCAGATAATCGAGTCTAGTTTTATTTTGTGTTTTTTGTTTCTTTTAAATAAAAATATCAAGTTATTTTTGTTGATTAGACATATAGATAAAATAATAAAACACATTTCTATTATTGTACGGATCATAAAAGGTATCTGCTTTGATTTCAAATGAAAATATAATACGAGATAAAGGATTTAGTTGCGCTTCATTGAGCTTATATATATAACAAAAGGTTCTTTATTTGAATATGAACAAAGAAAAAATGGTAAGTATATGTCCGTTACTTATTCGTGCATCGTTTATTGGTCGAACTTATCATGATTTTCAATTAAAATTTCAATCTCCATCAACAAATTGTACTAATGAATATCAAGATAATCCACTTCTTATACAATTTACTCGTATTTTAAATTCAACATTGAATGATACATCCTATATTCTATATAATCCAACAGAATCTACAAATCAATTTCCACATTTACAAGTTTTTCATAATGATCACGTTAATTTATGTATCCGATCAGCATTACATACGAATAATAATGATATGATATGTCATGAATTTTATATGATAACAATGTTATCATCAATAAATACAAGTTTATGGCCTTTATTAATAATATTTAGTTATATAACTATATTATTATTCGCAATGTTATTTTCATTATTTGCTCAAAAATTTAATAAATTTTCTAAAACATTATTTTCACGTTCAATAACAAAAAAATTAGTTCGAAAACATAATATTCGTTCATTTATTCCATTAATACAACGACATGAACATAATCATCATTTGAAAAAAATCGATGAGAAAAAAGAATTTTTAAAATTAGTTGATATAATTGCAAAAGATTACCGATCAAAAAACAAATACATTTATTATTCAGATACAAAATGAACAGAAACATTTTAATCGAACGATTATTTTAAATAATTCTACATATTATTGAAAGACTTTTAACACAGATGATAAAAATAAAAGAACGATGAAATATATTTTTATTGATGTTTATGAATAGTTTCAGATAAATGACAAAACATTTCCATAACACCACCTCCTAATAAAAAGAAAGTATTTTAGATTTTTATTTTTCTATTTTAAAAGAATATTTACCAGTCTGCGCACTCATTTCAAACACTTTCCATTCATTTGATGTAATTTTTGGTAATGATAATGCAAAAATAAGTTCTTCTTTACATAAAGATTCTAGAAAATATAATATTTAATAATACGAATAATAAGAATTAAGTTTAACAAACTTATTATATCTTGTTTATTAGCAGCGATAATAATTGGAATAGAAGATGAGTGGCCTATTTGCTTTGATAACTTTAAAAGTTCTTCTCTGGCAAGTGCTATTCGTTCTTTATCATCACAATCAATCACAAATACGACACCTGGATAAAAAAAATAAATAGGATTGCTATATTATAATACTGGTCGATAGTATTTAAATATTTTCTATTGTGTCTAGTGGTTGTTATTTATATCAAGAGTATATTTTGTATAATAATAGATTTCTAAGTCTAATACTTGTTTTATACAACTAATTATAAAGCTTTTTTTGGAAACAAATCTATCATTTGTTAGAAAATACTAGGGTATCAAACAAATTTTTCTACAAAGTTTTTTTTTGTCTGAGACTAAAAATACTTTAAGAAGATTAGTCAACTTCACATACAGGATTAAATCAACAGAATGCTCTTACGGACTGAACCGTTTTTTCTATGTTTATAATTTTATATAATTAATTAGATTTTATATAAAAACTTTATTTCTTTTCTATTAGTTTCTTTTATTAATGATAAAATTATGATATTGATATGACATTCGATCATTTTTCTTCTGTGACACTAAATAAAGTATACGATGTTATTTTCTGATATTAGTGAAACATGTATGTTGATAATATACAGAAATAACAACATAAATGATCTACTTATTCTAAATAAAAACATAGTATATGATTAAACTTGATTTCTAATAGAATTAAACGTTCTATTTTTGAAAGATACTGTTTGGAAATTTGATAAAGTTATGACAAATATTGTCGGATATTTGATATTTGACTATCGACACAACTAACTAAATAGTTGTTTTTTCTCTGTATTAATTTACTACTCTTACAAACTATTTTCCTGGAGATTGAGAATAAAATTCATCAGTATGAAAGAATTCTCTTGTCCTGTCAAAATTTAGCTTATAAAATAAGTTCGTCAAAAATTATGAAAGTACTAGTAAATATTAGTTTTGTATTACGATGAATAATAAAAATATAAATAGAATTGTTTCATTTTCATACCTTGCACTCCTGTTAAATAAAATCGCCATAGTGTTCTTGTTTTTTCTTCTCCACCTAAATCCCACAGGGTAAGTGCTAATGGTGCAAGACGTGGATAAATAGTTTCAACTTGATAAACAAATGTTGGTTCTGTGATAAAATGTTGAATAAAAGATGCATTTAAATTAAATTGTAAATCAACTAAATTTTTAAATCGTTGTACTAATGTTGTTTTGCCAGATGAATCAAGACCAATAACAACTACTCGAGCTGATGATTCATTATAAAGAGTACAAATTCGTCTAATCTTCGTTGGAAATATAATTCCCATTTGCTCATCGATATGATTTCTTTTTTCTTTCTTCTTGCGTCAACAATTCACCTGAAAGTATTGTGCTACAAACATCTATTGATCGATAAAAATACTTCATTTCTTTTTCTTTTTTTTTAACATTTCTTCATTTCTTCTTCTTCTTTTTTTCAAATCAATCTTCGTCATCTTTTATATATATATAAATATGACAAGAAAAAAAAACAAAAACATACACATAAAAAAATTTTTAAGCAAAACTATTCCGTTTTGATGCAAAACGACGTATTGAGTAATAATATTGTTGTTGATGTTGTTGTTGTTGCTGCTGATCTATACACATTTGTTTTTGATTATTATTTGATGCAATAAATATATATAAATTATTTCCTTTACGTTTATGTGAAAAATAATTTAGTTGACAAGTTAATATTGATACAAAAGCACGACGAAATCGAACATTAAATGCTGTATAGATAAGCTATAAGAGAAAAAAATGTATTCTTGCAAAAAAAAAAACATTTGCATTTCTTCTTACCGGATTTATATTTGATGCAATATAACCGAGCCAACTAGTTAAATTTAATAGTGATGTTTGTACATTACATGATGGACAAACAGCTGAGAGAATATTTAATATCGAAAATGGAAGCCATGCAACAAGAAAAACAAAAAATACTATGCCAAGCACAGTCATTGCCCGACGTTCACTTGTTGTTTCTATTCCATTTTTAAATACATGAACAGCTTTTTGTACAAATGTATTATGTAAAAATGAACGTTGTTGTCGATTAGATGCTGGTAATGTTGATGTTATACTAGAAAAAAACGAGATAAATATTTTTAATATTGACTTTTTTTTTTTTTTTTATCAACAGGAAACTTTTAAGTAAAAAAACTAAACTTACGGCCATTTAAGTTTTTCATCAACATCAATCATTGTTTGAGACCGACTTGTTGATGTTGTTGATATTGATGGTGATTGATGTAAATCTTTTAATGATGTACTTTGATGATATTGTTGTGATGAAGTTCGAATTTTTGAACATGATCGATGTCGCCTTAAACGATCCGATGCTTGTGTCATCATAACAACATGTTCATCAGGATCTGAATAACATTTTGCTGCTTCTTGTTGAAGACGTCGAATTGTTAATGAATATGTAACAAGCATTAATATACATGGTACACAAAAACATACAATTGAACCACAGATTATAAATTTTCGATTATTCAAAGCACAAAATTGTTTATTTTCATTATAAATAATTAATATATTATTTTTATCGGTAAAACCAAGTATAAGAATAGTACATGATATAGCAATTGAAAATGTCCAAATTAATACAATAGTTAAAAATGTTTTACATTTACTTCGTTCTCGACTACGAAATGGTCGAGATATATGAAGAAAACGATTAATTGAAAGAATGGTTAAATGCCATATTGATGTTGTACATAGAAGAACATCAAGAAAAACATAAAGATTACATAGAATTATTGGTAATTTCCAGGAACCTATGTATAAAAGAATATATAATTTTTATGTATACTTCTTAGAATTATGTCAAAGAGTTCGTATATATCGTTTAAAGATTAAATGTCATAAAAAATTTCGAATCAATTAGGTTAGAATGTCTCGATAACGACCAATAAATTATTTTGGCATTTCAATCATTGATTTATTCAATGTAAACTCTCTCTCAGTGACATTCTCTGGTGAACAACACAGTACATTTTTTATATGCCTCAATTATCTATAAATTATAATCAGACTGTTTTATTTCTATAGACATAAGGAGAACTTTTACGTATTTATATTTTGAGTGTAACATGCAGATGATATATGATTAATAAATAAAACAAAAAGAGCAATTTTATATAAGGTGAAAAGTCAGTTTAACCTTGAAAGAATTCTTTTACCCTTATGAGTTATCATAAACATCAAAGAAGGAAATACTCGGGATCTTATTTTAATGAAAAGATTAAATTTTTTTTTTATAAAAGTTCATAATTTACCTTGCAAATCTTTAATGATTGAAAGTGGTATAACAACAAGACTAACAAGACAATCTGCAATAGCCAATGAAAATAGAAACCAATTTGTTACAGTTTGTAATTGTTTATCAAGTGATATAGATGCACATACTAATAAATTACCAAGTGTACCAAATACAGCTAATATTGATAAGATTAATACTGGCCAATTTAAATAATTTATAGTAACCGATGTCGTATCATTTGTTAATAATAAAGATGAATTTTGATAATGAAGAAAATTCAAATGATTTGAATCTGATATTGTCTCATCAAAATAGGTCGTCATTTTCTAAGTGTAAAAAAATTTATTGAAAAAAAAATGAAGCAAATCTCAAGACTAAATAAGTATTATATAGAGAAATATGAGTGCACATTCAAATAACTCTTTTTCTCTCTTCTCTAATCATCATTTCTACTGTTTTCTCATTTTCTCTCTTGGCTCTTCTTTTATGATTCCATTAAGATTAGTAAAAAGAAGAGATAGAAAGAGAGAGAGAGCGAGAGAAAAAGCAACTCTTGCACTGACGACGTATCTACCATTATCATTTCAATGAACAACAACAACGACGACGACGACAATAAACACGCAAAGTATTTACTCAGGCGAAGAAAAAGATACTAAATAATTAGTATGGAAAAAAAATCATACACAGAAGATTGACGACAATTATACATGCTATCGAACAAGATATTATGATTTACATAAGTTTTACATTAGTTAAAACATACTTAGATTATCAATATTTTATCATTAGACTTGTCATTTTTTCAAACATATCTATATTATAATTGATATACAGACAATCAATGTATTTTTCAAGCTAAATTAGATTTTTTATTTTGATAATTCTTTTATCTAACAAAATCAAAGTACCTCATCGATGAGTACTTTAATAACGATAATAGATGTCTGACAGTAATTTATTATTCTTTGTATAAAGTGGAGCAAAATTGATCTTTTCTTTCGATAAATAAATTTTATTACCTACGCAAAATAAAAATAAATCTTTGATAAACTTGCATGAGGGACTACTTGAAATCTATATATAAAGATAATAGCTGGATTAATGTATCTTTCGGTTGATAGCACTAACAAAAAATAAAAGTACAAATTATTTATATATATGTAATAAGTTCGTGCTTATGTTTCAGTTATGTAACGACACGAATAACTAATCTTAAGTTAATTTGTTATCTCTTACAGTTTATTTGACATCAATAAATTTATTAACAAAAATAGAAAAACACACGCACACAAATACAGTTTTTGTATCTGATCTTTTCTTTTTTCTTCTTGAATTTGTTGTACATGGTTACAAAAAAAAAAGATAAATATAAAGATACAACTAAGAAATAGAAGGAGTTAATGATTCATCATGTGGTTGAGTATATTCAAATATAAGTAAATTACGATCATTAATAGATTTACCAATAATTAGATATTCTTGTCGTTTATTTAAATCATTTGTTATTAAATGTACATATAAAGATTGTATTGAATCTAATGAAGATATTAATTCATTAATAACATCTTTACGATGAATATTCCATGTACGAATACGTTGACCAGTCTTATCAACTGAAAGAAAATGTCGTTGATCAAGCCAACTAATTGAATGAATCTAAATAATTTAAGAAAAAAAAGATTTTACTTATAAATATTTGATTTCAAAATATATATTTTGTTCAAAAGAAAAGATCGTATATGACATTATAATATAAAATTATTATTTATTTAATGAACTTCAAAGACATTTACAAGTATAAAAGTCATATATTTCTATTAATATCACGAACATATGATATTAATGAAAAATAGTCTGAGAATTATTTCGAGATTTAAACTTCGAATCAATTTTGGCGAAATAAAGCGATGCCCAAAATACTTTCTATACAAAGTTTTGATCTGAAATTTTGTTTTTAATAAATAGATCTTTCTATTATTGGGAAGTTCGAGATAGTTGTGTGTTTTTTTCTCTAGGTATAGATTTCACAATCAATTTGATCATTGCGTGCTTTTATAATAGATGGCTAATTTCTTTTTTGAAGAAAAAATATATCTCAAGAGAAGCATGTTTATTTTCTTTAAAACTTTCAAGATTATTTTTAATAATTAATAGATATATTTGTAGATAACGTTTTAGATTACATCTTTCTACTCGATATACTTTGATGTAAGTATAAACAAAGCCGATAGTGCGGTTGTAAACGTAACTTAATACCACTAAGACCTAATGAATATGAAAGACACGATGGAAAAAATCTGTTCATGAGTGACTTTTATGATAGTCCTTTCAGTACTATTGTTTTAAAAATGTACCTCTTCCAATTAGTAAATGTCATGATTTAGAAAATAATTTCATTTCTTTACACTCGTTTTCGGTCCTTTCATTTATTTCCGCATGATACTATGCAACATGCTTTAATAATGTCTTATTTTTGTTATGACGAAGACAGACAGATTAAGTCATTTTATTTAATTATCAGTTATTATTTTGCACGATCGAACAAACTCGTCAATTTTACAGATCAAATATTCAAAAAAACCATTATTCATGTGTCATAGCTATAGAAATAGTTCATTTCTGACTCAAGAAATAAGTATAAATCGATCTCATTTCATGTAAATATCTTAAACTCAATAAAATGATTTCGAGGGTCTACCAAGGCTTATTTATCTGATGGAGATTTATTAACTGTATCAAGATTATACAGGATGTATTCCAAAATGTATAGAATTTTTTTTAAATAAAGCGTAAAAAATAAATCTCACTTACTAATGGATCGGAAATCGTTGAAATTAATGTAAATTGTCCCATAACAGGTGTAACATCCCATATATGTATTATACCTTGTTCCATATGTATTAATAAACGATTATTACTCATTTGACAGCTATATATTTGTTGTATTTTATTATCTAAATTTAAATGATGAAAATCATAATTAACTAAAATTTCTCCATCATATAATTGCCAAATAATAATTTGATTTGTATGTAAAATAGTTAAAATTTGTTCATTATCATTATTATTTGAATCATTTATTGGAAATGTATTATTTGGATCACAATTAAATCTTGTTAAAATCATTGTACAATTACTTGTTGATTCTGATGTTGTTGTTGATAAAATTTGTTCATTATCTATTATTGATATTGGTTCTAATTTAAAAACAACAAAACATGTATAAGGACTTGTATGTTCTGTACAAACAACAAGTACATAAGATTCATTTTTAGTTAAAATAATTCGTCGTATTTCATCACCAATTGATGTATCAGGATCAGATTTAAGTTCACGTGTAAGACTACAGGAATTAATATCAAGTAAACCAAGTGATATACCACGACCATATTTTTGTTTTCCAGCCATATAAAGTATTGATGAATTTCGAGATGTTAATGCTACGGAACATTTTATTGGATGTTGACTTGTACGAACTGTATAATTATCTGTTGACCAAATTTTAACAGCATAAGGATTAATATTTGTTGAAACTTCATAGAAAAGTCCAATTAGAAATTGACCATCATAAGAAAATAATATATCATGACAAGAACCAACTGATGATATAGGTAGTTGAGAATGAAAACTTCCAGTCTAAAAAATAAAAGAGTTCTTTTTTTGGTACTAAGGTCTACTCATGAATAATACATATGATATTTTCAGAATGACTATCAGATTTCGCTGTACAATTTACATTTGAATAGAAGAATTCTACTATTCGCTTGAATAATATTCGAAAATTTAATGTCGGTTAAACATGGAGTATCATATTTATTTTTCTCATAAGCTAATTGCTTTAGAGTTATCGGATACGTTTATCTATCATACAAAGAAATTAATGAAATATGAAGATATTCATTCGCTTTACGATGTTTAATTGCACTTAGAGGACAACGAAATCAGTTATCTTTTTTTTCTAAGGATGTAATTTATTTTGTAAACTGAATCACTTATTATCGAGAATATGTACCTGAGACTAATAATATAGAAGGGCTATGACGTCAGCGCTTTTAATTGCATTGACCTAGAACTTTTAGACGTCTGGTTCTTAAGCATAGAACAATTGTTCTATTATGGGATTGTATTCCCAATAACAGAGGAACTAGTGTTGGGTCAAAAGAACCTCGTAAGGAACGAAGTCTTATGAAAGAAAGTGCAAAGTTACCGAAACTGAACGATCGCGTTAGTAATACACTTTCGTAAGCTTTTTTGTGAGATTTGGTAGTTTTAAGTTTTTAAAAAAGACAGGTGGGCCCATCACTAAGAGGAACCATACATTCAAGTGTTCTAGACTAGTACAAGTAATTGTCCTACCTCTATAACATAGAGTAGATGAATATCTTCATTGTACGTAAGTTTGCTAGTTTCTTTACGGCAGAAACGTATCAGATATGTCTAAAGTTATTGCTTACTAGAAAAGTATACGAAGATTTTAGCACATATATTACTCCCACACTCTGTATCGACACTATATATCTACGAGAAAAACTAATTCTTATAAATTATGTGTTTATATTACAAATTTTACATTGCATTATACGATATCTTATACTAACGGAATCTGAAAGTTAAAACTGAATCAAATGAATAATAAATGCTAAATTTGAGAAATAAAAATGTACGTCATTAGTATCAAGTTTTTTTTTCTGATTCCGGTTCATGAAATACGATATGATATACTTACAAGTGCATGTGATAATTGTATACGATTTTCATTTGCTGTAGCTAATAGAATTGGTTCATTATTTATATTATTATTATTATTTGGTTGTAATGCATAACAATCAACAAGATTTTTAACATAAAGAAATAACATTTTTGTGTGAATAACAGATGATTGATTATTTTTTAAAATTGATCTTCGTTTTATTGATGAACGTTTTTGTAAAAGATCTTGTTCAATATCTAAATTAGCCGCAAGATCACATGAATAAACAGCTGAATATGTTTGTGCACTTGAATTATCTGCATCTTTTTTTAATGAACGTAATGTTGTTGTTGTTGTTGTATTTGATGAATGTGATGATTGTGTATGATTTGCTAATGGTATTGGTAATGGTAAATCATTATTTGATGACATTAAATGATTAACTTGATGATACATTGATGTTGAAGACGATGATGTTGGTTGAGATAAACTTGAATGTATACAACAATGTTCATTTAAAACACAATCAGAATTACGATATGGTATCGTTTTATTTTCATTGATTGATGATATTAAACGATAATTATCTCCACCATTATTATTTGTTGATAAACGAAATGATGTTGGTTTTGTTTCATTTGTATGTAAATAACGTAAAAATCTTGGTAAATGTTTTTTTGAATCTCGTCTATCAGCTGATGATGATGATATTGAACAACGTTTATTTTGTTGATTTAAATGTGAATAGGTTTTTCCATTGGTTTCATTATATGTATAGGAAAGATTTTTTCTTCTTGTACTACGATTAGTACAATGTAAACGAATAAATATAAATAGAAGAAATAAAAGAAAACAAGCAATAATTATTGAACCAATTAATAAACCACGAATACCAAAACGTGTTATTTGATGTGAAAACCATTGTATTAATGTTCCACGATGTTCAATTGGTATTGGTGATATAATATTAACTCTTGGTTTTGGTTCAGCATGATGTATATAATCAGCAATTGCAATAGTTGATGTATCAATTGTTGAATTTAATATAGAAGTAATACTTTGAGTATTATTAGAAGTAAATAAAGATGTAGTAGTTGAAAATATTAATATATCAGATAGATTAGTTAAATTGAATTGACCAAGATATTGATTAGGATAAACTTCTTCGACATCACCTGATCGAATAAGTGTATTACCAAGACTATCAAATATTGATTGACGATTCAATGATAAACCTGAATAGAAGAACAAAAGTTTTGATTTATAATTCACTTTTGACACTGTTAGTGAGTATAGGATATGTGTGAGTCGTGACAGGAGATCACAAGTACAAATATTTGTACTCGTGGTACTATTTATGACCTTGGACACGTAGATGTGTCAGTACTAAAAACAGAACATAATTGTCCTATTATGGGAAAAATATTCCCAAACAAAAGAACTTAATTATTCTGTTTTGAGAACTTTTTCCCTTAATAGGACAATTATGTTCTGTTTTTAGAAATGTCATTTTATAATGAAATGATTATGTTCTGTTTTTAGGAATAACACGCCGAAGTGTTCGAGATCAGTACCTATTGTACCTTTGCGGTGAACAGGTTCGGAGAAGAAATGAACAATAGTTTTCAGACGGGGCAAGTAAGCATATAAAATCTCGTTTTTTTGGTGGGTGAATCGAAATTTCGGATAGGCGCGATCTACCCGCTAGATAAAACACTCATTCATGATCGTAAAAGCTATATTAACCTACCAGCAATAACTCCATTCCATTGTGAAGTATTTTTAAAACTTCCAATTGTTATTTGTCGTTGTGTAGAATAAATTCGTTGATCTGAAGAATATATTGGCTCTAAAAATAGACATTTGATTATATATTTTTTTTATGTCATCTATTCTAACTTACTATTTTCTCCTGTTAATGTAATCTTAACACCATCAACATATAATTCAATAGCTGATAATTTTCGAATTATTTTAATTACATGATATACTCCATCAGTTACATGAGCTATAGCTGAATAAACATCCGGTTGTTTTTCACCTAAATTTAATTTTATGTATGATCGTCCTTGTACCTAATAGAAATATATTGAGATATAAATATTATCAATAAAATTTTAAATATACTATTTCATATTCCAGACTATAAATATTTGAATCTGATTCTAAACGAAATATTTGTGCTGACTTTGATGATGTTTGAAGACCAAATGTAATTGTATCGTGTTCAATTTGACGTGCTGAACTCATAACATATTCAAGCATACCAACAGAATCATGTTTACCAAAATAAAAACCATTTGGTACTATTTTTTAAATATCCATATATTTTTTTTCAAAAGAGAAAATTTTACTTACATTTATCACAACGTTCACCTACATAACCTGTCTCAGTACATTCACATTTAACTCCATCATTTTCATTTGATGTACATATACCAGAATGAAGACATGTAAAATCATAACAAAGTTTATTTAAATCTATATAAATACATACAAAAGATTATAATTAATTAGGAAAAAAATATTTTCGTAACTACTAATGACAAACAACATAACAGGACAATAGGAGGGAAGGAAAATGGTGTGCTACAAACAATCATAGCTTACCAGAATTTTCATTCGATGTCATATCAGATGAATCTACTTTTGCGCTAACTTTTATCGAAAAACAAAAATAAAGATACAAAAACTAGCTTACCTGAACAAATATTCATTTTAACTTTTCCATGAAGTACTAATGCAGTTTGATAATCAAGTAAACGACCATCAACAATAAAACTTGATAAACAACCTTGAAATCCATACGAATTAAGACCAGAACCAGTTAAATTGATTGTATTACTATTAGGTATACCACCAACATAAAGTACAGGTTGAAGAGAAACAGCATTTCGAATACCATTCGTTGATAATGTCGAACGATTGACACGATTATCAACAATTAATTCAATTCTATAATTCATATCAAAACAAAATTATTCTCAAACATAGTTCATCAGAAATATAGGGCGGAAACTAGGCATGTAACCGAACGGTTCGGGTTCGGGGTGGTTTGGACCGAACTCTAACAATTGAAGCATCGAAATGATATTTCTGATATATGTGGAGACATATTAATAGAAGTTATGAAACATCAACTGAGCCGGAACTGTTCGTAGTTCGGGTTCGGTTGATATTTCATAATCTCCTTTATTATGCTTCCACACATTTCAGGAAAATTATTTCGATGCTTCAATTGTTAGAGTTCGGTCCAAACCACTCCGAATCCGAACCCTAAAACCGAACCCGAACGTTCGGGTTCGCTACATACCTAGCGGAAATCGTAATGTATACAGAAATGAAAGTAAATGTTGGTAATCTTTTGTAGCTCAATTATATGCTTTGTCTAGGTAATCAAAGACTATAAGATGAATATTTTAAATTTATATTAATCACATATCAGTTAATACGAGAAGATTAATAAAATCCTTTTATATTTAGATTATTCTTCATATCCAACTCATATCATTAGTGTATTCCTTCAAGTATCTTTTAAGTATACCTATTCACTCAAAGATTGATCTACAGTTATTTATGTACAAGGTTATAATAAGAAGTCAATTAAATAGCTTTCGAATACAAGGTCTGAAGTGTTTCATTCGATTCTATTTATGGTATTGATGAAGCTACTAGAACATTAACACTTACATCATTGATAACTGATTAACTATAAACATAATATTTTCTTACTTATCAGTTCCAAGTCTTGTTACGCGTACTTCATGCCATTTTCCATCGGATAATTTTGTGGATTCATCACTAACAATTTGTCGTTTACCAAAACCAAAATCAATAAATAATACAAGTATTCCTGCTCTTAAACCAATAGCAAAATATTCATTTAAACCTTGTGCATAACGATATAATATAATACCATCAGGTACATATGAACGAAATAGAAAATAAATATCAAGTTTGCCATGATTTTTATTTTGACTTTCACGTTCCGAAAAAGCTATATATGATGTTTGAGTATCTATTGTAACTAAATTAAAAAATGCTATACGATAACCAATCGTAATATGTTGACTGTGAGAATGAAATGATGATGGTTGAATTTGTTCTTTTCGTGTTGTTAAACTCGAAAATAAATATTCATCATTAAATACAAGATCACTCATATAACCAATAAATGGTTGAAATATATCAGTATTAAAACGACGTGTATCACCGACTAATAATGCATTTATATTCCAACTAGATACAACATAACTTGGAACTTGTGCTAAAATATTTAAAAAAAAAAAATTTCAAAAAATTCCAATTGAAAAAATATATATATACATGTTCGTCTATCATCGTCAACATTAAGTATAAATATTCCATTTTGATCAATTTCAAATTGTAACCAATGCCAATTATCATTGTTTATATTTTTACCACATTGTGCAGTCTATCAAATAATGCAATAGATTAAAATTAATTTCAAACAATAAGATTATTTAGTTTTATAAAAATAGTTCGATCAATAAACAAAATATCTATACCTATTTAATATGAGAGATATTTACTATGTATAATTGGTATGATTATTCTGAAGATAACACATTTCAAGTACGATTCACGACAATTATATCAACTAATAAAAGAAATTTATTTATTTGTTTACAATTGTTATTTTAAGATATGTTCATCATCATTATTGTCTACTTAAGATCTTTCAAGTAGATGTATTGACTTGATATTCTCCATGGCCTAGATCAACATGAGTAGTATTTCAGTCGGCATGTCATTATTATTTCATAAGTGCAAATAAATAATCGTGCTGCTGCTGCGATACAGTGCACAGTATGTTTTACAGGTTTCTCCGTTACACCCACATCCGTTATAACATGTATGTTCATTATACAGAGATTTATTTCAAGCAAAAATAAATCTAGAAACTCGAAGCTACGTATAAATGTGATTGATTCTTCTAATTATATGTCTTTAATCAATCACAATCATGAGGATAAAAATAAAAATCTCTTATATATAGTGATGACAATCATATAGTTATCTATCTATTCTAAATCAACAAGAAATATATGTCACTCTAAAGATTTGCTAATGGAACTAAGCTCATAACTCAATGCCTGTCAATATTATCAATGCAAATAACTTATAATTAATTGTATTTTTATCTTATTACGTCGATTAACTATTCGAAAGCTACTTTATGAACCTTGTTTTTTGAAAAACATTGATGTATGTTTCTTATTTTTATAAAACAGGAAACACATTTTCGATAAACTATATTTTTCCTTTGGGCAAATATGAACGGAAATAAATGTCCTAAAAATATGTCTGACAGTTGTCATATCTTGTAAAAGATTGATAGGTTTTGTTATTTTCAACCCAATGCTTAAAATAAAATTACTTGATAGTAATTTTATATGATAAAATGTTTTGTATAAAATTTTAATAAATTTTTTAATTAATAGAAATATAATCTAATACAGTTATATATCGAATAATTTGTTAATCATCATATATCTTCTCTTCACTCTTTTGATTATATTTTCCCTATTTTATATAATATAACTATTACTCAAACAAAACATAAAAAATGGTCAAGAAAATGCAAACATTCATTCATCCGATAGTTTTTCTGCCAATTACATCCGGATATCAAATCAATTTTTGTTTAGCTTTAGTTTTCGGCTATCAATATACATGCCGAATAATTAAATTTTGTTTTTCCTTTTACATACGCTTACTTAGATAGTAATGTTCTGAGTTTGATTTAAGATATATACTTAGACTAATATTGATCAGTAAATGAATGATAACCTTGATAGACAGTAACAAAAAAAGCTAACAATTCATGTCTTTTTCCTATTCATCCGTATCCTTACTAGTTCATCGAAAAAGCACGTATAACTATAATGATTCTTTTTTTATTTTCTCTCTCTCCTTCTCCCTCTCCCTCTTCCTATGTATCTAGTATAGAACAGATTGTTAATCAGGATAATAAGAAAAGGGAAGACCGAAACAAAAAGAAGAAAGTTAGGTTTCGAGAAAATGCAAATTGTTCTTTGATATAGCTTCTGTTGTCTTGTTAGTTGATGCGTAAATGTGAGAGGCATTGAAATTAATGAGAAAAGAGATTAATATTTTCTTGTTACATATAGTTGAACATTGAGAAGACAGTTGAACATTTTACTTATCTATAGTTTTCTTTTCCTCTTTTTATCTTATATAAAGTACCATATTTGTTAAAGGTGGAACTAACTATAATGATTGACAACAGATTTCTACTTACACTGACAGTTGATAATGCATTTTTTTTATCTACTTGAAGAATAGTAATTTCGATTTTACCATTTGTATGTTCAATTATAATAAATGGTTGTATTGATGTTAAAGATTTACGATGTGTTAAAGAAAGTAGAACACCATTTGATATTCTACCTAATGTACGAAAACGTACGGATAAACGTAAAGGAAAATCAAGAATTCCTCTATGACGATAATCAATAAATGATGATGAATTAAATGTAATTACTACTAATGATGTTGATGGATCTAATCAAAGAAGAAGAAAAAAAAGTCATTGTTTCATTTCAATTAATCAATGAATAAAAAAAAGAAAGACTTTTTCTTTGTCTTTCCAGTTCGTTAATCAAGGTTAATTAAATATTTTTGCAGTGATTAACATCTATCATGCATCAACAGATATTTCTATCATCAAGTATATTTGCTCAATATAACAGAAATAACTATTAAGAACAATTATTTTGTCTATGGTTCACAGAATTAAAGAAAAACTATTCGACCATATATTCTCATTAAATAACTAAATGAAGTAAGATGTGTCTATATGTATGTACTCACCTGATCGATATTGTTGTGGTATATTACGTTTGACAAGTTCTTTTTTATTTCTATAACAATCTTTCGTTGATAGACTTGTTGTATTTATTATTTCATTTTTTGATATTAATGAAACGAAAATTTTCTTATTATAACGATCATAATTAATTAAAATTTTAAATTTTGATGAGAATATTAATGATGAACTATAATTATTTCGTTTTAAATTAATGATATGATCATTATGATCATTATTAGTAAGTATCATATGACATTGTTCAATTGTATAACATCGATTTGATATAGTTATTGTTTTATTAACAGCAGGAATAATAACATGAGTAGAAAGTTTTTGACATAACTAAAGAAAACATTCAAGTGTATTATTTTGATATAATAAATAAAAATCTGTAGGAGGTATACAATCATAATGTACGATAGGTGGTGTTATTCTTATGAGATGTAAGTGATTACTTAAGAAATGTCTTTCTTTTGTTCATTGTAATTATCAATAGTATAAGATGTAAATATCAAAGTCGGTCAAGTGATTAACTTATTTCTCTTTTGAATATGATTGTATGAACTTCTAATGTTTCACATTAACTTCAATATATATATATAATCGTTACCAAAAAAAATAATCAATTCTTCATTTCGACAATGTTTTGTATTAAGTTAAAAAGAGTTATTACTTTGCCTAAAGCAGACATGGACACACCCATTATTTAAATGAACTTTTCTTTTCTCTCAGAGAACAAGGTGGAAACATATACATATGCTCTTTTGTAAAGAAAATATAATTATGTTAAATTATACATATTCATATTTAATGGACACTACACTGACCGACATTACTTTAGGTATCATCTGTTGATCAGTAAGACTTAATGTATTATGTATTCACACAATGACAAATGCTAACGGTCATATCTTTTCAATCTATGTCTACACCCTCAAAAGACAAAAATGAAACCTACTGGTCAAAAAAAATAATACTAGTCTCTTATATGAATATATAGAAATCATCTTCTTCTTCATCTAGATTTACCTGTAAACTTTGACCATGAAAAATATAAATAAGCACCAATATGGATATAATAATAATGTTGTTTTGCATCGTCGAATTTTGTTTATTATTTCCGTTATATTTTACACATATTCAAGAAATATGAATAATATATCTGAAAAGCATTCAAGTGTATACTTGGAGTTGTGTTTGTGATTATAATGATAGTAGTGGTAGATCGATCAACGAAAAAAAAAAGAAGAAGATAACAATAACATATTTGATAGATCTATACTAAGAACATCTCTTTCTTCCTTCTTCTCTCTCTCTCTGTCTCTTATCTTAACTATATCTCTGTAATGGTTGTAGTTTGGAACCGACGAAAAGAGCTTCTCCCTCTTTTTATCTCGAAGAAAAAAAACGAGAGATAGACAGAGAGAGAGCAAGTGAACCTTCTGAAAATTATTTTTTTCTTCTTTCTTCTATTCTTTCTAAAACAAGATACATATATATGTGTATATAATTGTTAACTACCGAAGAAAGAATAATGATAATAATAGGAACAATTAAATCGAATAAAGATGTACTTATGTTCTATAACAAAAAAAAAGAAGAAGAAGAAGACTCGATCGATTAGCACAAGTTCATACAAATATGTGTTTAATCAAGAAAAGAAAAAAGACAGACAAAATCACCTCACATATATTACGCATGTATCTATCATTACTTTTCTCATCTCGCACTCTATCTTGACATATTGAATGTATATGTATGTAAAAAGAAAAATTGACAACGATGATGAAAAAAAGGCTTAACATTGTCTTACACCTAGATCCAGATTAGATGATAAATGAAGTCTCTTTTTCTCTTTTTTATTCATATAGAAAAATAACAATAATAACATTGATACAGGTTAAATCTATGACTGATCGGTTCATATCGATAATTCTATTTGATATGAATAAAATAGAGTTACTTTATCTTATTCACTAAATTTTGATTGTCTGACTGATAGTTATAATGACTGATTATTGTTGTGTTTAAATTGAAAGGATTACAAAGAAATTAGATCGATTAAATGTTAGAAAACATAAACTTACACACATCTATATATATATATATAGATATACGCACTTTCCTTTTCCTTTTATTGTCACGATGAACTTCCAAAACATTGAATCAGCCCTGCGGTATTACATCCTGTTTCGACGCCAATTATCGATTGCGTGCTGCAAGGCGAATAGAAGAAGAGATCACGTGTGATTGACAATTCGATTAATGTGTCGATTTCTTTTACGTTTGTCACTTTCTTCTTCGAATAAATAAATACATCAAAAAAAAAAAAACTTTCTTTTACATATGTACTAATGATAATTTGAATAACTTCGATTCTCTCATATGACTAAATCAGTGGGAGTTCATCAGCTGTTAAACATCTAATGAACTATGTCGATGTTTATGCAATAAAAGATCGGAAATGTAAAGAAAAAAAAAATTCTTAAGAGAATTGATGACTGACCAACGCAGTTCCTTCTAGACATTCAAATTAAGGATCAGCTTACAATGAAAAAAAAAGAAAAGAAGGAGGAGAGAGAGAGAGACAGAATAAGATGATAAGAAACGTTTTGTTTGCTATGCATCAATGATGGTTACTTTCCTTCCGCGTAGATTACACTCAGTATTATATAATAAAAAAGAATCAAAGAAAATTCTATCTATTTATAAAATTCATCCTATTAACTAACCAATTGAAATACTAAATGAATCCTTAGTGGTGATAACACGAAGTAAAAAAAAAAGTGTATACATATATATCTACTTGTTCGCTCATACATTGATTAAAGTGATTGATAACACGATGTATAACGAGAAAAAGAAATTTTTTTTCTTCACTCACTCTTACATAAACATATTGACAGGTTAATATTCTTCATTTTAATATATCATTAATACCATATGTCAATCGTTTTTCGTTATATAGACATATCCTCTTGATGTCGTTGTTTGCCTTAGTCAATTAATGCTCATTAGTTATGGTCACTGTGTCTACTCAGTAATAACTTACTCGACTTTTCATCGTTTGATGTATAGTGTTAGTATAATAGACTCGATCATATACCTTTATATACACATTGTTTAATGTTGATATGATTTTTACATTTTTTTTTCTTCTTTCTTTATTCTTGGTCATTATTATATTCAACAAAGATGACATAGAGAATGAAGAAGTCATGGTCAAATAAAGAACAAAAGTAAACTATAAATGACGATTCAAATAACAAAGATTTGTATACATCGTGTATATTTATAGATGATCAAAACGGATATTGAACACGATAAAGAGAAAAAGATTGAAAGTATAGGCAACTCATCGTTAAAAATAAAAGAAGAACGAGAGCGAAAAGGAAGAAATAAAGTGCCTGTGCGTGTGCAATCCACATTCATTACGCTTGTTTGTACATGATGATCGAATAAAGAAGTGATGCTCAGATAGCCTTCAGAGCAATTCATTCATTACTCGCTCTCTCTCTCACTCTCTCTACTCGACTTCTGTGTATTGTCACGAGAAGCGTAAAATGAAGATGAAGAAACTCCAACTAGTAGAATGCCTAGAACTATATAACAATAAAATCATCCTATTATTATTCAAAACTCAACCAACAATGTTATGTTGGTTACTTCATCTTGTTCTAACTGAATACTTGATGTATCCTTGAAAATTACGCATATACATACTAGGACAAATATATTCCCAATGTTAATTGTAATCAGAATATTAAACTAAGAACAAATTTATCTAGAGAAAGAAAAGAACATATTTCTGCATTTATATTATCTGACATCTTCTTGATCAATATTAATATAATATAGAAGAGAAAACAAATGGAATATTAAATAAATCACAATCTAGTAGTTTTTCTTTTTGCTTCTATTAGTTACATTCATAGTGATAATTCATTTCTTTATCCTATTAAAAGCAAAGTCAAACGATGTATGAAAAGAAAACAAATATCTTTTGATTACTAAGATTATTCTTACGACTATATTATAAGTTACCATTTTTAATCAATAGATCATACATCTGTAGAAGATAATGCATGTTTTTTCATAATACTAATTGATCCATAAGACAGATTTAATTAATATTAATTGCATTGGATCAAATTAACTCTATTAAATAGAAAAATTAAACAGAATATTTTACTATTCAAATATATTATATATGATATTAAAAAGATGCTAAATAAAGAATGGATGTTGTTATATATAGAACAAAGTCGAAGATACAATGACATTAATGTCTGATGTTTGTTGTTAATATAAATGATGAAATTTATAGAATTAAAGTAGCTAGTTATCTAAATGTGTTGAATGTGGATATACTCTTTAAGCTCACAGTATATCAATAAAAACATCGAAAAGATCAAATCATCCAGAAGAAAAAAATGGAACAAAGTTGTTAATCATATTTTTTTCCTTAACACTGCCTCTTCCTTTTATCTGACTTTCTTTTTTTTTTGTTATTGTGAATTACTTGGTCTATTCTTTGCTTTTACTCTTCATAAGACATCTATGAATCAATTATATTCCTATTTTTTTCCTTTGGTGATTAGAAATATTCATAGCTATTTATTGAAATATTAATATGTAATTTCTAGTCACGTGATGTCAATACAATAACTAAATATTCATTATATTGTATTACACATTAATAGAAGTTACGTGTAATAAAATTGCTTTAAATCGTATTGAATACATTTAAAATGATGAAACATCATTGAAATCTATGAATTCTTCTCTAATATCAATTTCTATTGATTTTGATAACCTGGTAAATATTTGTATCAATTTTCGAGATCTTTTGTTTTCATTATGTATGCTAATGTGTAAGAAAATATTGACTGGGAGTATGAATCATAGATAGTTAATCTTTCAAATTTTGTTACGACGCAATGCATAGGATTAGGAAAAGGAAATTGGAAGATTTCCTTTCATGCTCAAATCTTTCCTGTGTTCTCTCTTTCTTTATAAAATTGCTTTTTTCTTTTTTTATAAATACTTGATATTTTCCAAGCTTTTGAGAAGTCAAATGACCGGTGAATAGGCTAAAAAAAGATTATCTTCTCTCAATTTTGAATAGGTATATCATATA